TATCTACTGACCGGTATTCTCATCCATCAGACTCATGTCATCCAGATACACCATGCTGGTCAGGGCTTCCAACCGTCTGTCCAGCTGCAAGCACAGTGCGATGTATCCCTGCCAATACCTATAGGAAGAAATATTGAGATCGCTAACGCCGAATATCCTTCCATCAGAAAACGCAGAAGGCAGCAATGCAAGATCATTAACCCTTTCAGGACCAGAGGTCACCAAAGCTTACATGGTCAGGCTCAGTATGTGTCAGCTAAAAAAGGCAACCGATTTGCCTATCAAAACAACATTTCTTATTGATTTTTTGTTTACGGTCATAAAAAGCTAAAAAAAAAAAAAAATTATTTATATATATATATATATATATATATATATATATATATATATATATATTTTTTTTTTTTTATTATTATTATTATTATTATTAATAATAAAAATACTAATAAATATATATACACACACACACACTAAGTACTGTATGTATCCTGTGCATTTTATTACATTTTTTCTGTTAACCACACTAGCTGGGCAACGCAGCTGTGGGTCAGAACAGAACCAGGTGCTCCATACACTGGGTCCCATGGGGGATTCACACACATTTTAACAATTATATTCAAGGCTTTTATTTCAGTGGGAATGTAGCACCTCCAGCACTGAGTGTATGTAATGGCAAGGGGTGCTCGGATATCCTGCAGAATCTATTGATGCTGGCTGCTGGGGGACCTATTGTCACTGGGGTGGTGGGGGGGGGGGGTCTATTGCTGCTGGGGAGTGGCAACTACTGTTAAGGGAGGGGTCTACTGTTGCTGGGGGGGGGGGGATCTACTGTTGAGGTAGTGATCTGTTGTTGCTAGGGGAGATCTACTGTTGAGGGCAGTGTCTATTGCTGCTGGGTAATGACAACTATTGTTGAAGGAAGAGTCTATTGTTGCTGGGGGGATCTACTGTTGAGGTAGTGATCTGTTGCTGCTGTGGGGATCTACTGTTCAGGGCAGTGTCTACTGCTGCTGGGGAGAGACAACTACTGTTAAGGGAGGGGTCTATTGTTTCTGGGGGATATATTGTTGAAGTAGGGATCTAGTGTTGCTAGGGGGGATCTACTGTTGAGGGTGGTGTCTATTGCTGCTGGGGAGGCACAACTACTGGTAAGGGAGGGGTCTATTGTTGCTGGGGGATCTACAGTTGAGGTAGGAATCTATTGTTGCTAGGGGAATCTACTGTTGAGGGTGGTGTTAATTGCTGCTGGGGAGGGACAAATACTGTTGAGGGAGAGGTCTATTGTTGCTGGGGGGATCTTCTGTTGAGGTAGGGCTCTATTGTTGCTAGGGGATCTTCTGTTGAGGTAGGGATCTATTGTTGCTGGGGGATATTCTGTTGAGGTAGGGATCTATTGTTGCTAGGGGATCTTCTGTTGAGGGCAGTGTATATTGCTGCTGGGGAGGGACAACTACAGTTGAGGGAGGGGTCTATTGCTGCTGTGGGGATCTACAGTCGAGGAAGGGGTCTGTTGTTGCTAGGGGGATCTACTGTTGAGGGCAGTGTCTATTACTGCTGGGGAGGGACAACTACTTTTGAGGGAGGGGGTCTATTTTTGCTGGGGGATCTACTGTTGAGGGAGGGGGATCTACTGTTGAGGGCAGTGTCTATTACTGCTGTGGAGGTCTATTGTTGCTGGGGGGATCTTCTGTTGAGGTAGGGATCTATTGTTGCTGGGGGATTCTCTAAAAGGGACAGTACTGGGAGGTGGCCAGGGGGAGGTGGCCAGGGGGTGGAACCAAGGGACCTACTCAAAGGTGGGCAGGGGGGTGAAGGGAGGGGGGGGAGTACCTGCACCTATTGTCTGAGAAACAAAGCCCTTATTATATTGATACTTCTTACTTACCTAGCTGCAAAGCAAACTTTATTTTCCAGATTTCTTCCATGCAGGGGAGTATTAACCACAAGGCAAACAAGGCACTTGCCTAGGGAGGCATTTTTCAGGGGGGCAGCACTCCCCCCCCCCAGAATTCCCGGGTTAGGGAGCAAGCACTGAGCACGTCAGAGGTAGACTGCATGTCCCATGATTCCTCGCTGCCCCGTAACACATATCGAATCCCACGAGCACCTGAACATGGCACCAAGTGGCACGTTACATGCACATCAGGGTGGCTACACTGGGGCAGGGGGGATACATTGCACTGCAGGGCAGTCTCTCAACCTTTCTACCCCAGAGGAACCCCTAAAATAATTTACAGGTCTCAGGGAACCCTTACAAAAAACTCGCTCATTGAGGGTCAATAGGAAAAATGTCCCTAACTTTGCTGGCCAATAGGAGGATTGCAGCGCTTACAGGCAGCTAAATAGATCGTTAATGTCATCCTCTACCAGCATGTCTTTGGAGTGTGGGAGGAAACCGGAGTACCCGGAGGAATCCCACGCAGGCACAGGGAGAACATGCAAACTCCAGGCAGGTGGGGGCCGTGGATGGGATTCGAACCAACGATCCTAGTACTGCCAGGCAGAAGTGCTAACTACTTAGCCACTTCCAAGATTTAATACCACTAACAATACAAGCAGTTGTTGACAATCATTTGCAACGCGATGACGTCACCATTTTTGACAAGGAGTCCAACCTGCTCAGTAGCTTGAGGTCACAGTCACCTGTGTGGTTTTAGTCTCAAAGTAAACAAGGAATGTACCCGTCTAGATGTCCTTACCCAGCTGTCCTGCAGATACTCAGCATTCTCTCTTTGGTTACAAAGTCAGACGGAAGTTCGATTAGAAGAGACATGAGATGTCCATAGCCCCAGGTGAACAAGTGTGAGCGGGGTCTGCGGGGAACGGAGATGTACAATTAGTTCATAGATTCCTTTTTCTGAAATAGCAAAGAAGATCTCAAAGTACTGCTGAGCAACACCTTTTAAGAAGAACTCCAGAATACATAACTTTACATAGTTACTAGAGATGTGCACAAATTTGTGTTAAAGTGTTACTAAACCCATGACCCCGCATTCACTGTATCCGCTCTCCCCGGACCCCGCGTTCACTGTATCCGCTCTCCCCGGACCCCGCGTTCACTGTATCCGCTCTCCCCGGACCCCGCGTTCACTGTATCCGCTCTCCCCGGACCCCGCGTTCACTGTATCCGCTCTCCCCGGACCCCGCGTTCACTATACCCGCTCTCCCCGGACCCCGCGTTCACTATACCCGCTCTCCCCGGACCCCGCGTTCACTATACCCGCTCTCCCCGGACCCCGCGTTCACTATACCCGCTCTCCCCGGACCCCGCGTTCACTATACCCGCTCTCCCCCGGACCCCGCGTTCACTATACCCGCTCTCCCCGGACCCCCCGGACCCCGCGTTCACTATACCCGCTCTCCCCGGACCCCGCGTTCACTATACCCGCTCTCCCCGGACCCCGCGTTCACTATACCCGCTCTCCCCCCGCGACCCCTCCCGCGCGTTCACTATACCCGCTCTCCCCCCGGACCCCGCGTTCACTATACCCGCTCTCCCCGGACCCCGCGTTCACTATACCCGCTCTCCCCGGACCCCGATGTTCACTATACCCGCTCTCCCCGGACCCCGCGTTCACTATACCCGCTCTCCCCGGACCCCGCGTTCACTATACCCGCTCTCTCCCCGGACCCCGCGTTCACTATACCCCCCGCTCTCCCCGGACCCCGCGTTCACTATACCCCGCTCTCCCCGGACCCCGCGTTCACTATACCCGCTCTCCCCGGATCCTGCATTCACTATATCTGGTCTCAACGGACCCTGCATTCACTATATCCGCTCTCCCCAGACCCTGCATTCACTATAGAGAGAGAAAAAAAAAGAACAAAACAGAATAGAAGATAAAATAGAATAAAATAGAGCCGTAAATAATCAAATCAATTAGAATAGAAAAATAAATGAATAGAATAGAAAATAATAGAATAGAACATAACAGAATAGAAAAGAATAGAGTAAATCAGAATAAAACAGAGTATAATATTAAAGAATAGAAAAAAAATAGTAGAATATAATAAAAAAAATTTAAAATAATAGAAAAGAACAACGTAAAACAGAAAAAATAGAATAAAAAATAAAATGGAATAAATATAAATGAAAGGAATAGAACAGAAAATAATCAATTAGAATAGAAAATAGAATAGAACATAACAGAATAGAATGGAATATTAAAGAATAGAAAAAAACAGAATAGAAAAAAACAATAGAATAGAATATAAAAGAACTGTGTAAAACAGAACAAAATATAATAGAAAACAAAAGAATAGAATAAAAAATAGAATATGAATTAAAGGAATATAATCAATTACAATAGAAAATAAATTAATAGAATAGAAAAGAAAATAGAATAGAACATAACAGGAGAGAATAGAAAATAATAGAATGGAACATAATACAGTAAAACAGAACAAAATAGAATAGAAAAATTAAAGAATAGAATAGAAAAAAACAAAGAATTGTCTTCCAAAATTTAAATTTCGATAGATTAAAATAGAATATAAAAAGAATAGAATCGAAAAGAAAATAAATGATTAGAATAAAAAAAGAATAGAGTAAAACAGAAAATAATAATATAGAATATTAAAAATAGAAAAAAGTAAAAGAAAAAAAAATAGAATAGAATTTAAAGGAATTGAATAGAAAAGAATATAATCAATTAGAAAGAACAGAAAAGAATGTGAAAAAAACTGAATAAAATAGAAAAGAATATAACTGTCTTCTGAAATTTGAACTGCATTAATTTGAATCCGGTTGAATTTTTGAATTTCAGTTAAATTCAGAAAATTCGAATTGAGTTCAAATACGAATAAACAAAACGAATTCCGAAAATAAATTAAACAAATCTAACTAAATAAAATTAGTTAATTAACGAACAGGGATCCCATAGGTACGGTATATGTATGGATACACTGGTCCAAGCTGGAACAATGTAACTATGTAAAAATATCCATACCTAGAATTCTTCCTAAACTCTGCAGAGGTCATGTGACCAGATCACTCACCTGGGGTTTCCAGTGCTGTCAACAGTGCTTGAAGAGTGGGGGGCGTCATAGGAAACTGCCAGTTGCAGCCAGTCTAGCTTTAAGGATTCAGGTTGAGCAAGAGACTGTAGCAGGGATAATCTACAATACAAAAGCACATCGAGTCTTACTAAGCATCGGTATCTAATGAATCCATCTCCTACAAGTTTTCCAGTTTGGTTTTCTTGGTATACTTTTCATATATTATGGTGCCGGGGCGGGTGTAAGGATTTTTGACTACACAGGTGATTGTGCATTTTGACCCTTACCTAGATCTTTGACCCTCACCTTGACCCCAACACAAACCCTGACACTGACCTATATCAAGCCTTGATCTAGTTACTTTTTTCTTTTTTTTAACCACTTGAAGATCGCCCTACAGCAGTTTTACTGCTTCAGGGTGGCCCTCCTGTGCAAAAAAAAAAAATATATACAGTATATATATATATATATATATATATATATATATATATATACACACACATATGTATATACAGTACACATACATACATACACACACACATATACACACACACACACATACATATATATATATACACACACACACACACAGTACACATACATACACACACACACACACACACACACACACACACAGTACACATACATACATACACACACACACATACACATAATATAATAAATAACACCCTCACACACACACACACACACACCACATATATATATACTATAGTATATATATATATATATATATATACACACACACACACACACAGTACACATACATACATACACACACACATATACACACACACATACATATATATATATATACATACATACATACACATACATACACACACACACACACATACACACACACACGTATATATATACACACACACACACACACACACACATATATACACATACACACACATATATATATACACATACACACACACACACATATATATATATATATATATATATACACACACACACACACACACACACACACACACATATACACACACACACACATACATATACACACACACACACACACATATACACACACACACACACATACATATACATACACACACATGATTTTGCACCGTTGCCTCATGAGTGCTGGCAGATCGGCTTCTGCTGTGAACTGTCACAGCAGAAAGCCGATCTCGGAGTCTCAGAGCTGGGAACACGATCCATCACTTCCCCTTCTACCAGCCCTTTCCCAGCACCACCTAGTGTACACCAAGCCAGGGGCGGACAGACCATTTTGGAACTCGGGCACTGCCCGAGGGTCCGGGGTCAGTAGGGGGCCCCATGAGATGCCCCTGGTACCTTTCATAGGCTTTTTTGGGTGTGATTTGAGTGTGGGCAAGGACACAAGGGCCCCATGATCCCCTATTGCCCGGGGGGCCCCATGAGTTGTCAGTCCGCCCCTGCACCAAGCACATAGCTAGGCACACACTTAGCCCTTTGATCACCCTAGATGTTAACCCCTTCCCAACCAGTGTCATTAGTACAGTGATCAGTGTATATTTTTAGCACCAATCACTGTATTAGTGTCACTGGTTCCCACAAAGTGTCAGTTAGCGTAAAATTGTCCGCCGCAATATTGCAGTCCCGCTATAAGTGCCCGGTCACACCGGTGCGATTTCAGGTGCAATTTGGGAATTGAAATTGAACCTGAAATCGTATCTAATGAATGTGAACGTCGGTGTCTTAACATTTGCGATTTGCTGCAGCGCGATTTCTAAAGTAGTTCTTGTATTAGTTTTTCTGCGGTTTTGTTGCGATTTCACAGACATAGAATACAATGGAAAATCACTCTGCAAATTGCAAGAAATCGTTGAAAATCTTCACAAGTCGCAGAAAAGTCTTCATAAATCGCACACGAATCGCAGCGGTGTGACCGGTGGCTAAGTGAAATTTGAAGAATACTGGCAATGCCTCAGACGGGTCCCGTCCTCTCTTCTCCGTACCTTTGCTGCTCAGGTTTCGTCTTGATGAGATTGTCCAAGTAGGCCAAAAAGTGCCCCGGATTCGCCCTGCAAAGATGCTTAACATCCACCGGTAGGACGGACGGGTAGAACTTAGGGAAGGATCGCACGGCCGATTCGCCAAATTTGTCGTAAATCCTAAATTGAATAAAAAGGAATACATAAAAGTCAATTGTACTCAATTCTGATGTGAACTTCGAGGTCACCACTGTGAGGGCTAACGGCCATTACAATATAAAAGAAAGCAACGGTGAATCCACAAAGATTGCAGCATGAGTTATCACTTATTAGGGCTCCATTCACACTTGTGCGACTTCAAAAATCGTGCGATTCGCATTCCGACTTTAAAATGTGACTTTGATGCGACTTTTGGATGAGTGCGACTTTGGTGTGATTTTGGCTTTGACCAAGAAGGATTGTTTCTCTCGTACAAAGTCGCATGTATATCGTTCAGGTGCGACTTTGGAGGGTTTACATTGAAGTCTATGGCCCTCAAGTTGCGTGAAACTCAAACCAAAGTAGTGCAGGAACTACTTTGAAGTCGCACAGATATGAATGGTACTCATTGGGAACCGCACCGCATTCCTCTGCGAATCACATGCGAATTCTGTGAGGTGCGATTAGAGCCATACATTTTATTTGCACCAAAAAAGCGCAGGACCCTTTTTTTTGGTCCGCACTAGAATCAGATCACACGGGTATTCACACCTATGCGATCCGATTCTGTACATCGCACTGCGTTTTGTGAACCAATTTCAGGGTGTTGTTAACATACACCCGTCTTCACACTTCTTACCAAAACCGCTGATCTGCGGAGCACAAGACCGGTCCCTGACGCTTCTTCCCCTCCGCACACTAGGGGTCTTGTGAATGGACTGTTCCTGACGTCATCCTGCTCATAGGAGCAGGATGACGTCAAGAACAGTCCATTCACAAGACCCCTAGTGTTGCGGAGGGAAACAAGCGGCAGGGATCAGTCTTGTGCTCCGCAGATCAGTGGATTTGGTAAGAATATCTTCATTCTTATACCCAGGGGCAGACTGACCATTTGAAAACTCGGGTACTGCCCGAGGGCCCGGGGTCAGTAGGGGGCCCCATGAGATGCCCTTGGTACCTTTTTCATAGGCTTTTTTGAGTTTGGGCAAGGACACAGGGGCCCAATGATCCCCTATTGCCCGGGGGCCCCATGAGTTGTCAGTCCGCCCCTGCTTATACCCCTTCACAAAGATGAGCAGATGGCCCAGCCCCACTGTATGGTACAACAAAAAAAAAAAATGTTTTGCCCGTATTTCTGCTTTAACTAATGTCATATACAAATCAGAGGTCACATCTCTGGTTTCTATAGGAATAAAATAATAAATACACTGTAACAATATATTGTTACACACTGCTCAAAAAAAATAAAAGGAAAACTTTGTAATCAGAGTCTAGCATCAAGTCAATGAAACTCCTGGGATATCGATCTGGTCAGGTAAGTAGCAGAGGGGGTTGGTAATCAGTTTCAGCTGCTTTGGTGTTAATGAAATAACAGCCGGTGCACTAGATGGGCAACAATGAGACGACCCCCAAAACAGGAATGGTTTTACAGGTGGAAGCCACTGACATTTTTTCCCTACTCATCTTTTCTGACTGATTTTCACTAGTTTTGCATTTTGGCGAGAGTCAGTGTCACTACTGGTAGCATGAGGCCGTACCTGGACCCTACAGAGGTTGCACAGGTAGTCCAACTCCTCCAGGTTGGCACATCAATACGTGCCATTGCCAGAAGGTTTGCTGTGTCTCCAGCACAGTCTCAAGAGCATGGAGGAGATTCCAGGAGACAGGCAGTTACTCTAGGAAAGCTGGACAGGGCCATAGTAGGTCCTGAACCCATCAGCAGGACCGGTAACTGCTCCTTTGTGCAAGGAGGACAGCATGAGCACTGCCAGAGCCCTACAAAATGACCTCCAACAGGCCACTGGTGTGAATGTCTCTGACCAATCAGAAACAGACTTCATGAGGGTGACCTGAGGGCCCGACATCCTCTAGCGAGCCCTGTGCTCACTGCCCGGCACCATAGAGCTGGATTGGCATTTTCCATTGAACACCAGAATTGGCAGGTCCACCACTGGCACCCTGTGCTTTTCACAGATGAGAGCAGGTTCACCCTGAGCACATGTGACAGACGTGAAAGGGTCTGGAGAAGCCGTGGAGAACGTTCTGCTGCCTGTAACATGGTTCAGCATGACCCCTTGGTGGTGGGTCAGTGATGGTCTGGGGAGGCATATCCATGGAGGGACACACAGACCTCTACAGGCTAGACAATGGCACCCTGACTGCCATTAGGTATGGGGATGAAATCCTTGGACCCATTGTCAGACCCTATGCTGGTGCAGTGGGTCCTGGGTTCCTCCTGGTGCAGTGGGTCCTGGGTTCCTCCTGGTGCAGTGGGTCCTGGGTTCCTCCTGGTGCAGTGGGACCTGGGTTCCTCCTGGTGCAGTGGGGGACCTGGGTTCCTCCTGGTGCAGTGGGACCTGGGTTCCTCCTGGTGCAGTGGGGACCTGGGTTCCTGGTGCAGTGGGACCTGGGTTCCTCCTGGTGCAGTGGGTCCTGGGTTCCTCCTGGTGCACAATGCCCGGACTCATGTGGGGAGAGTATGCAGGCAGTTCCTGGAGGATGAAGGAATTGATACCATTGAATGGCCCCCACGCTCGCCTGACCTAACTCCAATAGAACACCTCTGGGATCTCATGTTTCGGTCCATCTGACGCCGCCAGGTTGCACCTCAGACTGTCCAGGAGCTCAGTGATGCCCTGGTCCAGATCTGGGAGGAAATCCCCCAGGACACCATCTGTTGTCTCATTAGGAGGCTCCCCCCCGACGTTGTCAGGCATGCATACAAGCACGTGGGGGCCACACAAACTACTGAGGACCATTCTGAGTTGCTGCAATGAAATTTCAGCAAAATGGACCTGCCTGCTGCATCATTTTTTCACTTTGATTTTCGGGGTGTCTTTGAATTCAGTCCTCTGTAGGTCAATCATTTTCATTTCCATCAAACAATGGGCATCCTTACGTTCCTCACACATTACCCCGTCCATGTCAGTATAGAGATCCAGCAGGAGATTTGTTCCCATTGAGATCTGATGGGTTTTCAGAGTGTTCCTTTCATTCTTTTGAGCAGCGCACTATTATTCAATAACAATTGAAGACTATCTGCAAGTGTCATAATACATTTCGAATAACATAAATATCAGTGGGGTGGGGGTATCTCCCAAGTTAAAAATCCTCAAGTGGTCAAATAAAATGGGGAAAGGTTAGAGTCTCTGTCTGGTTGGTATTGCTCTCAGTGACCCCACTGGAGTTTATTTCTCATTTCCTGCCCTTGTGACGTTAGAACAGGGACAAGGGGTGTCACTAGGACAGGAAGGCATACAGTGCATCCAGAAAGTATTCCCAGCGCTCATCTTTGGCCACATTTTGTTATGTTACAGTTTTATTCCAAAATGGAGTAAGTTCATTTTTTTTCCTCAACATTCTACAAACAATGCCCCATAATGACAACGTGAAAGAAGTTAGTTTTGAAATTTGTGCAATTTATTAAAAATAAAAAACAAAAAAAAAAACCCATGTACATAAGTATTCCCAGCCTTTGCTCAGTACTTTGTTGAAGCCCCTTTAGCACCAATTCCAGCCTCAAGTCGTTTGGAGTATGATGCTACCAAGCTTGGCACACCTATTTTTGGGCAATTTCTCCCGTTCTTCTTTGCAGTACCTCTCAAGCTCCATCAGGTTGGATGGGGAGCGTCGGTGCACAGCCATTTTCAGATCTCTACAGAGATGTTCAATCGGGTTCAAGTCCTAGCTCTGGCTGGGCCACTCCAGGACATTCACAGAGTTGGCCCGTAGCCACTCCTTTGTTATGTGGGCTGTGTGCTTAGGGTCGTTGTCCTGTTGAAAGATGAACCGTCGCCCCAGTCTAAGGTCCAGAGCGCTCTGGAACAAGTTTTCATCAAGGATGTGTCTGTACATTGCTGCATTCATCTTTCCTTCAATCCTGACTAGTCTCCCAGTTCCTGCCGCTGAAACACATCCCCACAGCATGATGCTGCCACCACCATGCTTCACTGTAGGGATGGTATTGGTCAGGTGGTGAACGGTGCCTGGTTTCCTCCAGACATGACACTTGGCATTCAGGCCAAAGAGTTCAATCTTTGTTTCATCAGACCAGAGAGTTTTGTTTCTCATGGTGTGAGAGTTCCTCAGGTGCCTTTTGCAAACTCCAGGCGGGCTGCCATTTGCCTTCTACTCAAGAGTGGCTTCCGTCTGGCCACTCCACCATACAGGCCTGATTGGTGGAGTGCTGCAGAGATGGTTGTTCTTTTGGAAAGTTTTCCTCTCTCCACTTAGAAACGCTGGAGCTCTTTCAGAGTGACCATCAGGTGCTTGGTTACCTCCCTGGCTAAGGCCCTTCTCCCTCGATGGCTCATTTTGGCCAGGAGGCCCGCTCTAGGAAGATTCCTGGTGGTTCCAAAGTTCTTCCATGTACGGATGATGGAGGCCACTGTGCTCATTGGGACCTTCAATGCTACAGAAATTTTTCTGTACCCTTCCCCAGATCTGTGCCTTGATACAATCCTGTCTCGGAGGTCTACAGACAATTCCTTGGACTTCATGGCTTGGTTTGTGCTCTGACATGCACTGTTACCTGTGGGACCTTCTATAGACAAGTTTTTGCCTTTCCTAATCATGTCCGATCAACTGAATTTCCAACAGGTGGACTCCAATCAAGTTGTGGAAACATCTCAAGGATGATCAGTGGGAACAGGAGGCACCAGAGCTCAATTCTGAGTGTCATGGCAAAGGCTATGAATACTTATGAACATGGGGTTTTTTTTTTTTTTGTTTTTATTTTTCATAAATTGCAAAGGTTTCAAAACAGGTTTCTTACCCATTCGCAAAAAGATTTACACTTGTGAATTGAACATTTTTTGGATGAATTGAAGGCAAAACACTCATGCAAAAAGATCTTAGTGAATTAAGTAAAAAACCTGGAATGTGCAATAAGGACTTCCGCCAGGACTCAATGGAAGCCCCTTAATTGTACCAAGGTAATGAGTGCGGCTACCCATCCAATCCGTATGAATGTCATTGGTGCACGAGAACAGTCACACAGCTGGAGGCACATTTTTCTGGTAAATGATCACACCGCTCTAATGGAAGTCCCTCCTCAAATCACGTCCTACAGGCCACCAACACACCTATACGTTTTCTGACAGAATGTTTGTCTTTAGGAAATACTCCTAATTCTTCTAATGTACTGGGTCGTCTGTCCTGCTACAAATCAACGGGTGGCCAGTGCACTGTGGATCCCTGACCGGCAATACAAAAGATGTCCGGTTTGGGTGAACTGGTAAAGGGGATATCTGGATCACACACCTGGACACATAGGCGAGGAGGAGAGGACTGTCCCAGGGCTCCATATCCTTCAGTTTCTGCACAGCGTTCACCAGTTCTCCTTTCTCTATGGCCAAAGCCCCGGCCAGATCTGACCGGGCCAGATCTGCAAAGGAATTCGGAGAAACCTTGCTAGTACTGGGTTGGACCCCCTGACTACAATCTGTAGGTTGACCTTGCTAAAAAGACACAAATCTACACTCTTTGGACACTTTATTAGGTCCACCTTGCTAGTACTGGGTTGGACCCCCTTTTCAACAAGGTGTTGGAACCACAGGTCTCCTCAGAGATTTTGGTCCATATGGACATGATCCCCAGCATGTACACCGGCACTGAGACGATAGTGCTGCAGATTTGTCGGTTGCACATCCATGATGCAAATCTGCCGTTCCACCACATCCCAGAGGTTCTTTATTGCAGCCTTTCTCATGCGGGGTGGGGACACCAGAGGTCTTCAGGGGTGCTGTGAAGAGAATGGCTGTAATTTGAGCCAGAGCTCCCGATCCCCAGCCGTACTGTACACCGGGGACTGGATATAGTGAATGCAGGGTCCGGGGAGAGCGGATATAGTGCATGCGGGGTCCGGGGAGAGCGGATATAGTGCATGCGGGGTCCGGGAGAGCGGATATAGTGAATGCGGGGTCCGGGGAGAGCGGATATAGTGAATGCGGGGTCCGGGGAGAGCGGATATAGTGAATGCGGGGTCCGGGGAGAGCGGATATAGTGAATGCGGGGTCCGGGGAGAGCGGATATAGTGAAGAGCGGATATAGTGGATGCGGGGTCCGGGGAGAGCGGATATAGTGAATGCGGGGTCCGGGGAGAGCGGATATAGTGAATGCGGGGTCCGGGGAGAGCGGATATAGTGAATGCGGGGTCCGGGGAGGAGAGCGGATATAGTGAATGGGGGTCCGGGGAGAGCGGATATAGTGAATGCGGTTCCGGGGGAAACCGGATATAGTGAATGCAGGTTCCGGGGGAAACCGGATATAGTGAATGCGGGGTCCGGGGAAACCGGATATAGTGAATGCAGGTTCCGGGGGAAACCGGATATAGTGAATGCAGGTTCCGGGGGAAACCGGATATAGTGAATGCGGGGGGGAAACCGGGTGAATGCAGGTTCGGGGATATAGGATATAGTGAATGCAGGTTCCGGGGGGGACCGGATATAGTGAATGCAGGTTCCGGGGGGACCGGATATAGTGAATGCAGGGTCCGGGGGGACCGGATATAGTGAATGCAGGGTCCGGGGGGACCGGATATAGTGAATGCAGGGTCCGGGGGGGACCGGATATAGTGAATGCAGGGTCCGGGGGGACCGGATATAGTGAATGCAGGGTCCGGGGGGACCGGATATAGTGAATGCAGGGTCCGGGGGGACCGGATATAGTGAATGCAGGGTCCGGGGGGACCGGATATAGTGAATGCAGGGTCCGGGGGGACCGGATATAGTGAATGCAGGGTCCGGGGGGACCGGATATAGTGAATGCAGGGTCCGGGGTTTAGTAACACTTTAAGCATGCTCATGTAAAAGGCCATTGAATAACTGACCCAGAAGAAGTAACTAGATCAGAAATTTGAACTACTGAAGCCAACTGATTGTTATGACAACCAACAAGCACGGCCGTGACAAGGGGTGGGCAGAGGAGGGGCAGCTGCCCTGGGCACTGTGGTATCATGTGAGGTGGGGTGGAGGCACCATAAGGAGATTGGGGGGAGAAGATTTCTGCGGGGAGGGGGAATTTGGGGGAGGTAGGGGGTAAGAATTGGGTAAATTTAGGGGGTGCTAGGAGTGGTGATGTGGGGGGGCTTGCGCAAGAAAGGGTGATATGGTAGAGGGAGGAGTGGATTTGTGCTACGAGGAGATTTTTTTTTTGGGGGGGGGTATTTGTGCTAGTGGGGATGCTTGGGGGTTTTGGGCTAGGAGGGGAAAATTTGGCATGTTCGCCCCGGGCTCTAGATGACCTTGTCCTAGATACTGCCTACAACCTAGCATTTTCAGGAGACCAGCACTAGCAGCCTACATACACCTTTCAGCACGGGGTCTTCAGTGGTTACATACTGTCTCTGCCTAAACTTCTTTTTAAGGAAGAGATCCATCAGTAATTGGAACGAACAGAAATCAGGCATGTTGCCATTATTACAAGACAACGATCATCTTGTTTGAAAGGTTTTTCCATGGCAAAGGAGTTCAAGCTTACAAATGAAAGCCCTTGTGTGATAGAACACAAGACCGCTCCTTCCGGAACATTTTTCATAAATTAGACCACTAGTATCCAGAAACTGTTGTGTTGCAAGTTTGGTACAAAAATATTCAAAAACATCCATATTACCTTTTAATCCTTCAACGTAAGTGTCCCAGATGCTGGGGACGTCACTGTACACCAGCGCGAGGCATCGCTTTAGCCTTTTGAGGTCCAGCAGGAAGAGGTACTTCCGTATGAAGCGGCAGGCACTTGGGTTCCCATCAAAGCAAGTCTCACTAGCGAAAACGTTATATTCTAGGCACATCATGGCTAACTGGGAGAGGTCTTGATGCAGAGGTTCCTCTATGAAACATGGAGCACGCACTCTGAAGACAAAATCTTCCTCCACCCTGGAACAGACAGAAGGTTTCCTCTCGATCTCCTCTGTGTCGGACGATTCTTTCGGAATGCTGTCTGCTTCCCCTGAGGAGTTCAGCGATGTCTCACAAGAGCCACTGAGGTCCTGGGGACTGAGCGCCTTCTCCAAGTTCATCAACCAGGCTTTTAGGACCCTTCCCATTTCTTCCACGTTAAACAACACTTGAGAGTCCTGAAGTTTATGCCTGAAAAATATTTAGAAATTACTCATTCTGCTACTGCTGGTACAGGATACCCTTTAGGTAGGCAAGCCCATATGGATCCAACTCCTACCCCAAGCTGTCCTCCTAGTTTCTAAATACAGAACCTCCATCCCTTGACGCCGACTTATTGAGCTGTCCACTACCTTCTCTCTATATCTCTCTACACACATTTACCTTTGCAAGCATCTAGTGCAGCCTCTTTCAACTTTTTTACCCAAGAGGAACCCTTAAAATAATTTTCAGGTCTTAGGGAACCTCTTCTAAAATGAATACATCACGAGTCAATGGAAAAAAATGACCCTCTTATAGTGGTGGGCAGAATGCCACTCTACCAAGTAGCGCTGGTCCCAGAACCCTACCAGATCTGAATGTGGCCCTTTGCTTGCCTATATGTGGCCCTTTGCTTGCCTATATGTGGCCCTTACCCATGTTACCCACATTGATATGAGGCACTATTTCTTCCACGGACGCCAATGATGGGGCAATTTTACTTCTACTGACACCAATGATTTGGCTTTATTCCTTTCACATTGATGGGTCACTAGTCCCCCCAATGACAAAAATGATGGGGCACTGACCCTCCCACTGACACCAACAATGGGGAACTGATCCTCCCACCAACACAAATGATGGGGCACTAGTCCTCCAACTGACACCAATGATGGGGCATCATTCCTCCCACTGACACCAATGATGGGGCACTAGTCCTCCACTGACACCAATGATGGGGCACTAGTCCTCCAACTGACACCAATGATGGGGCATCATTCCTCCCACTGACACCAATGATGGGACACAATGTCTCCCACTGACACCAATGATGGGACACAATGTCTCCCAGTGACACCAATGATGGGACACAATGTCTCCCAGTGACACCAATGATGGGACACAATGTCTCCCAGTGACACCAATGATGGGACACAATGTCTCCCAGTGACACCAATGATGGGACACAATGTCTCCCAGTGACACCAATGATGGGACACAATGTCTCCCAGTGACACCAATGATGGGACACAATGTCTCCCAGTGACACCAATGATGGGACACAATGTCTCCCACTGACACCAATGATGGGACACAATGTCTCCCACTGAAACCAATGATGCGGCACTATTGCTCCCACTGACACCAATGATGCGGCACTATTGCTCCCACTGACACCAATGATGCAGCACTATTGCTCCCACTGACACCAATGATGCAGCACTATTGCTCCCACTGACACCAATGATGCAGCACTATTGCTCCCACTGACACCAATTATGTGGCACCATTTCTTCTACTGAAACCATTGATAAGCCACAATTCCTTCCACTAACACCAATTATGTGGCACCATTCCTCCCACTCACAACGATGTTGGGGCACTGATCCTCCCACTAATACCAATGAAGGGGCGCTATTCCTCATCCTACTGACCAGCCAATATATAATTTTTTTACTCCCACTGACCACCAAGCCTGAGATAATGTCTACATCCACTGACACTGGGGCATTTTCCACTTTAACTGGCCACAGTCTGGCCCTCCTAAAGTCTGATGGACAGAAAACCGGCCCTTTGTTCAGTCTGGAGAGCCCTGAGATAGGGGATCAATCAACCACAGTTCAAGGAAAACTTAGCAACCTCTGGAGGAACCCCGGTTTAGAATAAACTAGGATGCGCTAGACCAGCCAGAGGACACAGTTGGGGTCTGGTGTCCACTCCACCCCCCACCTGTGTTATCAAGCTTTGCACCCTCATGTTTGAAGAAATCAAGGTTGTATCTGTTTTGTCCACATACTCTATATATCCTGATACTTGTGTTTATATGTTCTTCTACGCCGCTCGTTAAAGCGGACTGCCAAATACAATTAACACATAGCATCCTTCTAACCCACCCACTTTTCTGATACAGATTTTGGATTTTTTTTTTTTTTTTCGGGGGGGGGGGGGGGGGGGGGGGGGGGGGGGGGGGGGGGGGGGGGGGGGGGGGTATGGGGGGGCAAGTACCTTCTTTTTTTTAAGCAGGTACTTGCTCCCACTTCCGTTTTCCTTTCCTTGATTACCATGATGTTGGTCTTGGCCTGCCTGAAGCCTCCTGAGATAATGCCACACATTCCTGGAGGCTACAGGACCAGTCAACCCCAGGAAGTGACAGCTGGCTTCTCAATCCAAGATGGCGGCACAGGAATATAACAGGCGAGGAAGACTTGTAAGACAGTGCTGGACCTTATAGCCTGCTAAGTATGTCTTTCTAAAAGTCAGCAGCTACGGTGCTTGTGAATTAGTGAATGTGACAAAGCTCTGCTGACTTCCATCATCCAATAATCTATGAACAAAAATTCTTTTTTTTTTTTTTTAATTTTCCTTGCATTAAGCGAAGGGAAAATTTCCTTCCCAATTCGTTTCCAAGCATCCAGTTATATCAACATTTTAATGATGGAGGAGCAATAAAACTTGTCAGATCAAAAATGTACCCAACAAATACATAGAATATTCACCACTCACATGGCTTCCAATGTTGCAAGCTTCAGTTCTCCCAGCAGAATATCCTCCACAGAAGGTGTTGGTGGTTGGGGAGGTTCTAGTCTACAAAATAAATAGAATATTAGATACTTATTACTTTGTGCTCCGTATTACAGACTTGAGGCCATATGATGGCCCATTACAAGTGAATGACCACAGGGGGACATAATGCCTATATAAGCTGGCCAAAAAGCAGTAGCTTAGTGGTTAGCACTTCTGTCTTGCACTGGGGTCTCCGGTTCATTTGCCAGTCAGGACATTATCTAATGGGATTTCCCACATGGAAAAAAAAAATATATTTGAAATATATTTTAAAAATATTCTTCCCAAATATATTGACATATTTGAAATACTACAATTTTGGCCATATTCAATATTTTTAAAAATATATTTCAATACATACATACACACATATATATATATATTTACATATATTTGTAACTGTATTCCAAAAATGTAGATTAAATGTATTTTTAAAGACATACAGTATATTTGAAAACGTATTTTTAAAAATATTTTTCATACATTTTGTAATAAAAAACACATTTCAACATACAGTGTGTAATACACACACACACACACACACACACACACACACACACACACACACACACACACACACACAGTAAGGTGATATATATCACTATGTCTACCATCAGTAGACATAGTGAGAGCCACATTAGTAGATTCCTCTAGCCTGCAGATTGCTGTGTGCCTCTCTCTCTGTGCCTCTCTCTCTCTCTGTGCGCTGGCTGTGCACACAGAATGAAGTAAAATCGGCCGATTTTATTTTCGGCCGAAAAATCGGCCGATTTTCGACCCATCTATGGCCTGCATTACTGGCTATGCTGGGATGGATACTAATGCAGGCCACAGATGGGTCGAAAATCGGCCGATTTTTCGGCCGAAAATAAAATCGGCCGATTTTCGGATCGTTAGTGGGGTATTTGGTCGGCCGTTTTTTCGGTATTTTGGCCGTTTTTTTTTTTTTTCTGTAAAGTTGGAAAAAAATCGGCCGATTTTGCACCACGAATGCCGATCTTCGCGGCAATTAGTGGGCAAATTGGCCGATTTTTTGCCGATAAAAAATCTGCGCATGAGCAGTGACCTGCAAGAGGAAGACAAAAAGAAGAAAAAGAAGAAGAGGAAGAGGATGAAGAAGAGGAGGAAGAGGATGAGGATGAAGAAGAAGAGGATGAGGATGAAGAAGAAGAGGATGAGGATGAAGAAGAAGAAGAGGATGAGGATGAAGAAGAAGAAGAGGGTGAGGAAAGAAGAGGAAGAGGATGAAGAAGAAGAGGATGAGGATGAAGAAGAAGAGGATGAGGATGAAGAAGAAGAGGATGAGGATGAAGAAGAAGAAGAGGATGAGGATGAAGAAGAAGAAGAGGGTGAGGAAGAAGAGGAAGAGGATGAAGAAGAAGAGGATGAGGATGAAGAAGAAGAGGATGAGGATGAAGAAGAAGAGGATGAGGATGATGAAGAAGAAGAGGATGATGAATAAGAAGAGGATGAAGAAGAGGATGAAGAAGAAGAAGAAGAAGATGAGGATGAGGATGAGGATGAAGAAGAAGAGGATGAGGATGAGGATGAGGATGAGGATGAGGATGAGGATGAGGATGAGGATGAGGAAGAGGAAGAGGAAGAGGAAGAGGAAGAGGAAGAGGAAGAGGAAGAGGAAGAAGAAGAAAGAAGAAGAAGAAGAAGAAGAGAAGAAGAAGAAGTAGGATGAAAATAAAGAAGAATTCCAGTCCAGCAAAAAGTGTATCTGCAGAGAGCTCCGCTATTTCTGACAGTTCTCTGACAGTTCCTTCACATTTACAGCGGTTGCAACAATGTATCTATTTGTTTCCGAATAAAAACATCTGTATCCTAAATGGAAACAAATAGATACAATGTTTCAACCGCTGTAAATGTGAAGGAACTGTCAGAGAACTGTCAGAAATAGCGGAGCTCTCTGCAGGGACACTTTTTGCCGGCTGTAGAAGGGATGAAAATCGGCCGATTTTTTTTACCATTTATGGTAACATCGGCCGCTTGAACGACCGAATTTTCGTTTTTTAAAAGAAAAATCTGCCGTTTTTCTCCCCATCTATGGCCTGCATAAGACCTTGTAATACCAGTTTCAAATTCCTATTTCTGCCCGGAACTCCTATTTGCTGCAATTAACTCACTCAGTTTTCTCTTCTTCTTGTTGGGAAAAACCATCTACAGTCACTACATGGGGGTGCTCTTCCTCCTTGGCCTCCTGCTTCCTCCTTATTTCAGGACTCATGTGGAGGGTACCAATTTTCTCGGTGGTTTTTCTGACAAAGCTTGAGACACTGAAACCGGAGAAAACCAAAAATGAACAAACTTGTGCATGGCCGCTAGAGAGGTGGGCACTGTTTTCGACTTGAGAAAATATACTAGGACTGGGATTATGTCCGCAGTTTAACCACTTAAGGTCTCGTACCTGTATACAATGTTCTTGGACAACTTGCCAGCCAGCTTGCTAACAACCGAATTAACCTGTCTAACAGTATGCGTTTATAACAGGGGTTTAGTTAGCACACATTTGCAAATACATACGTGAGCCACGACATGGCACCCTGGTAATCTGTGGTCCTAACTCTAAAATTTGTGAGTCCCCATAGTAGAGGCACATGCATTTAATGGATAGATCATGGGCAGGTGGACCTGAGGGAGCCACCCCTCTTAAAGGCAAAGGAGTGCACTGGACCCCAGCATGTAGCACAATGGCAACCAGGGTCCTAGTGCACCCACGTACCAAAAACTCAAACATGCATAAAAGTGGCCACCCGCCCAAGTCTATAACTGGCTTATGAAGCAAGGACACATAAACAGGCATCACATAGTGAATAAAGGGGAGAGAACAATGTTCTTGGACAACTTGCCAGCCAGCTTGCTAACAACCGAATTAACCTGCATGTGCCTCTACTATGGGAACTCACAAATTTTAGAGTTAGGACCACAGATTACCAGGGTGCCGTGTCGTGGCTCTGTGGCTTACGTATTTGCAAATGTGTGCTAACTAAACCCTGTTATAAAACGCATACTGTTAGACAGGTTAATTCGGTTGTTAGCAAGCTGGCTGGCAAGTTGTCCAAGAACATTGTTCTCTCCCCTTTATTCACTATGTGATGCCTGTTTATGTGTCCTTGCTTCATAAGCCAGTTATATAGACTTGGGCGGGTGGCCACTTTTATGCTCGTACCTGTATATACCCCTTACGGACAGCGGCATTTTTCACATTTCCATCGTGGGCCTGTTTAAATTACTTAAGATGCAGTAAAACATACGTTGTATTATTGGGGACAAAGTAGACTTTTGGTGTAATCTATAAACAAAAAGTCCTGTCTGACGAAACGCGTTGGAGGTTGAATTAAATGCTGTAGGCATACTGGTGCTGTGTGATCCCTGTGGTTGGTGAGCAGCTTGAAGCTGACCGGAGGGCAGGTTCTTTACCTTTCAGCCAGTGCTTTCCTCATCCACACTAACCGATTGCATGTTCAGTTTTTATCTTTTGTCTTCAGTTCTCCTGACCTTTGTGACTATATTTTAATGTCACATTGGAATATATATATATATATATATATATATATATATACATATATACATATACACATATACATATACACATATACACATATACATATACACATATACACACACATACATACATACACACACACACACATACACATATATATATATATATATATATACACACACACACACACACACACGCACATATTTTAATTTGTTTTACTTTTTTTGTTCATGCATTGTACTATATTTAATATTAGTGCTGTACTATATGAGTAATTGAATTATATATTCATATATCTTGATATAACCCCCCATAAATATATATACACACACACACACACACACACACACACACACACACACACACACACACACACACACACATATACTTTTTTTTTTACGATTTTTCTTTATTTTTTTTTATTTTTTTGTTTTTTTGACCTAAGCACTAATTTACTTAAATTTATTTTAATTAATTTTTAGCACTAATTTACAGAAAACAAAAGTAGTTTTACTGTAAGTAGATTTTATTGTAAAAAAGTATACATTTTATTCTATAATTTATCCCATTTATAATGACACTAAAATGAGGTTTATGGTACGAGCCATAGCAAAGTAATTTTAAAATGAATAAAAAAAAAAACGTTTCTCAATTTTTCACATTTTCTTTTATATCCAACACAAAAAAAAGCAAATAGGAAAAAAAATGAATGTAAAAAAAAAAATGAAAGTAACATAATATCAGCATAAAATGAATAGCTAAGGGGAGAAGGGCGGTATAAATATACTTTAACCTTTGAGCTAAAACACATTCCAGGTGCATTAAAGCAAAATAGTTAATTTTCTTTAGAAGGCAGCCACAGTAGAAAAGCTCGTCCCAAGCCAGCTTGCTATAAAGGGCTCTTTGCTCTCTATTTGGAAGCAGTGGTCTCTCTGCAGAAATCTTTACTACTCCAATAACAAAAAGTGTTTTCCCTGCTGCCTGTGTTGCTATTGAGGGGGCTTCCTGGTTTGTCCCAATGGGATTTTTCCTCACCTGTTCTGTGTTAATCCTATCCACCAACTGTCCCTTTACAAGCCTCCCAAAGGGGCAAAAGCACAAACAAAATGACCAGAGGCTGTAGAACAATCAGAAGTGTCACATCTATGGTTTTGGAGTACAAAAGTATTTATTGCATCTTAATAATCCAAGGTAATATTACATCGCTTTTGTGGGGCTGTCAAATCCACCCTTCATCGGTGGACCAAAGCTGAGACTGCATCTTGGGAATACCAGAGCTGAGAGACTAAGTCACCAGGTGCTGGGTACCTGAGGATTGCAGACTGCCAAGAGATTTGGACCAGATCCCTGTGTACCAGAAGGGGTACGCTGACCATCTGCACTTATCTCAAAACTGACACAGTTAAGACAATAGAGAGTGCTCCTTGTTTAGCTGCCCATTAGCCATCCACTGCACACTCTTACAGAGACAGCTACATGTGCACCACCTACAGTAGGGTCCCAATGAAAGCCAGAAAACACTGACACTTAGGCACCATGTACATCCAGAATGCTTATGCCTACCCACTTTTGGGGCTGTATGCATAGCGTGCACACAAGGACTTTTATTTTCCTGGGTTAGTTCCTGCTGATACTTTAACTTTAAACTTTCGCACCAGTTAGAGTCTAATTTAACATTGCTATAGTTCTGTTGATTGCCGGTTTATGGGTTAGTGATCATTTATCTAGTACAGTATCTTTAAATCTGTTTGGTTACCTGTTTGATTTAGGCACTGTTTAACCTCCCTGGAGGTATTCCCGAGTGTAGCTTGGGGTAAACGTTCAGTACCAGAAGCGGTAACCCCGAGCTAAACTCGGGAATACCCTGCAGCGCTTCTCCAGCGATCCCCGTTTCACTTACCTTGTCCTGCATTCCCTCGATGTCCCCCCTGCAGCATCCCTGGCCATGTCCTCTGGCCGATGCCAGCATCCGTCTTCTGGGTTCCGTTCCCTGCGAGCGTCGGGACGTACGGGACGCACGAGGGACGAAACCGGCAGGAAATTAAAAAATGTCAAAATTGAACATTCGCTAAATACACTAAAATCTGATAGTATTCCATTACTGTATCAAACCATTTCACATACATTTTGTCCCGAGTGCTTTGTCCGGCACCCTGCCTGCATTTTTACTGTTCTTTCTGCCTGGAAACTGAGAAACGTCCATGGCGTCCAAATAGCGTCCCTTTAGGTCAAAAGCGGTTTTAGACCGGCTAGAGAACAGCGATAGTAAATCAGAACCACTTGCAGAATTGAGTGATAATGATTCGTGGGGGAAATTCATCATCAGACACTGAAAACGATTCTGCGACTTTGCCGAGTGATGTGCGAACTTGGCGCTCTATTTCACATTTCAGTGTTTTTGGTTTGATTACATTATTGAATTTATTATTATATATATTATTTTTTGTGATTATTTATTAAATTATAATTTATGATTTCGGGTTTCAAATTTTATCATAGACTAGACTCTTGTTCTGACCGATTTCAGCGAGTTATTCCTAAGAATTACAGGCCTACAATAAAAAAAAAGAACAACATAATGTACCGCTTTGAGCACAGAAATACTGACATAATCAGACCGCTAGGGAGGTTCACTGTCTGAATACATCTAATTTATGCTGCCACCAAGCTGCTCATGGCCTAATTCCTGTGCATCGTCACAGTGTGGCAGCTTACCAACGTGTAAATCACACAGGTGTGAGCGAGTTTCAAACCACAACCAGGTGTGTCAGTGGGGATCAAGCAGTTTTCCGAGTCATGGCTAGAACAGAGAACCCCGCCATCACCAGCGGCACCTGAGGGGTAAGCACTACATGGATAAAAATCTAGAACAGTAAATCTTGTATTCTGCTCAGTGTTATCTACGGGGTGATTCTTTACCTTTCTTTGACAGCTTGCAGGGACATGCGGGGTGAGGTGGAACGGAATGGCAGTGAGAGACTGAATGGGAGGATGGGCTCGGTCCGATCGCTGTCCATTGTCACGGAGGCATGAGAAGCGGTGTCTGATGGGCAGAACATGCGGGAGAACAGGTAACAGAATGACAATGAGACTGACCACAACAACGTGCAGACAACATGCATCCGCAGATCCGTGATATTAGAAATTAATCAGAACAAGGAACAAAAAAAAAAAAAAAAGGGGGGGGGGGGGGGGAGGGGAGAAGACTTTTGTTGGGTATTCGCAATATGTTACAAAAAAACATCAAAAATACATCTTATATCTTTAGAATTTAAATGAATTGTATATTTGTTAAAAAAATAAACTTGCATTATATATAAAAGTTCATGCATTGTTGAAGCATTTGCCATTAGAACATCAAGAATCATTGACCTGCCATAATTTTCTGTAAATTAATAAGTCCATAGATTTAATCAGGGCTTTTTTCTCGGTGGTAAAGCAAGGGAACGCAGTTCCAGCACCTCCGGGACTGCATGAATGTAATGGCAAGGGATGCTGGAGATCTATTGATGCTAGTAGCTGGGGACCTATTGTTGTTGGAGGGGATCTATTTCCGCATAGGGGTCTATTGATGCTGGTGTAGATCTATTGTTGCTGGGGGGTCTTTTGTTGCTGGGAGGAATCTACTTTTGAAGGTGAGGTCTATTGATGCTGACTACTGGAGAGATCTGCTGTTGCTGCTGGAGATCTGGGGGGAATAGTACCCCATCATTGGTGTCAGTAGGAGAGAATAGTGCCCCATCATTGGTGTCAGTAGGAGGAATAGTGCCCCATCATTGGTGTCAGTGGAGAAATAGTGTCCCATTATTGATGTCAATGGGAGAATAGTGTCCCATCACTGGTCTCAATGGGAGGAATAGTGTCCCATCACTGGTCTCAATGGAGGAATAGTGTCCCATCACTGGTCTCAATGGGAGGAATAGTGTCCCATCACTGGTCTCAATGGGAGGAATAGTGTCCCATCACTGGTCTCAATGGGAGGAATAGTGTCCCATCACTGGTCTCAATGGGAGGAATAGTGTCCCATCACTGGTCCAATGGGAGGAATAGTGTCCCATCACTGGTCTCAATGGGAGGAATAGTGTCCCATCACTGGTCTCAATGGGAGGAATAGTGTCCCATCACTGGTCTCAATGGGAGGAATAGTGTCCCATCACTGGTCTCAATGGGAGGAATAGTGTCCCATCACTGGTCTCAATGGGAGGAATAGTGTCCCATCACTGGTCTCAAAGGGAGGAATAGTGTCCCATCACTGGTCTCAATGGGAGGAATAGTGTCCCATCACTGGTCTCAATGGGAGGAATAGTGTCCCATCACTGGTCTCAATGGGAGGAATAGTGTCCCATCACTGGTCTCAATGGGAGGAATAGTGTCCCATCACTGGTCTCAATGGGAGGAATAGTGCCCCATCACTTGTGTCAATGGGGGGAATAGTGCCCCATTATTGATGTCAATGGAATAGTGCCCCATCATTGGTGCCAGAGAGAGGAATAGTGCCCAGCATTGGTGTCAATGGGAGGAATAGTGCCCCATCACTGGTGTCAATGGGAGGAATAGTGCCCCATTATTGATGTCAATGGAATAGTGCCCCATCATTGGTGCCAGAGAGAGGAATAGTGCCCAGCATTGGTGTCAATGGGAGGAATAGTGCCCCATCACTGGTGTCAATGGGAGGAATAGTGCCCCATCATTGGTTTCAATGAGGGGGGGGGGATTAGTGCCCCATCATTGGTGTCAATGGGAGAAATAGTGCCCCATCATTGGTGTCAATGGGGGGGGATTAGTGCCCCATTATTAGTGTCAATGGGAGGAAAAGTGCCCCATCATTGGTGTGTCAATGGGAGGAATAGTGCCCCATCATTGGTGTCAATGGGAGGAATAGTGCCCCATCATTGGTGTCAATGGGAGGAATAGTGCCCCATCACTGGTGTCAATGGGAGGAATAGTGCCCCATCATTGGTTTCAATGAGGGGGGGGGGGATTAGTGCCCCATCATTGGTGTCAATGGGAGAAATAGTGCCCCATCATTGGTGTCAATGGGGGGGGATTAGTGCCCCATTATTAGTGTCAATGGGAGGAAAAGTGCCCCATCATTGGTGTCAATGGGAGGAATAGTGCCCCATCATTGGTGTCAATGGGAGGAATAGTGCCCCATCATTGGTGTCAATGGGAGGAATAGTGCCCCATCATTGGTGTCAAGTGGGAGGAATAGTGCCCCATCATTGGTGTCAATGGGAGGAATAGTGCCCCATCATTGGTGTCAGTGGGAGGAATAGTGCCCCATCATTGGTGTCAGTGGGAGGAATAGTGCCCCATCATTGGTGTCAATGGGAGGAATAGTGCCCCATCATTGTGTCTCAATGGGAGGAATAGTGTCCCATCATTGGTGTCAAATGGAGGAATAGTGCCCCATCATTGGTGTCAATGGGAGGAATAGTGCCCCATCATTGATGTCAAGGGGGGGGGGATAGTGCCCCATCATTGGTGCCAGAGAGAGGAATAGTGCCCCAGCATTGGTGTCAATGGGAGGAATAGTGCCCCATCATTGGTTTCAATGAGGGGGGGGGGATTAGTGCCCCATCATTGGTGTCAATGGGAGGAATAGTGCCCCATCATTGGTGTCAATGGGAGGAATAGTGCCCCATCATTGGTGTCAATGGGGAGGAATAGTGCCCCATCATTGGTGTCATTGGGAGGAATAGTGCCCCATCATTGGTGTCATTGGGAGGAATAGTGCCCCATCATTGGTGTCAATGGGAGGAATAGTGGCCCATCATTGGTGTCAATGGGAGGAATAGTGGCCCATCATTGGTGTCAAAGGGAGGAATAGTGCCCCATCATTGGTGTCAATGGGAGGAATAGTGCCCCATCATTGGTGTCAGTGGGAGGAATAGTGCCCCATCATTGGTGTCAGTGGGAGGAATAGTGCCCCATCATTGGTGTCAGTGGGAGGAATAGTGCCCCATCATTGGTGTCAGTGGGAGGAATAGTGCCCCATTATTGGTGTCAGTGCAGGAATTATTGCCACACTGTCGGTGGCAGTGAGAGGAATAGTGCCTCATATCAGTGGGAGCAAAAGTGCCCCAAGGGCCGGCCCCAGGCCGCAGTTTGGAGACCACTGGTTTAAATGATAATTTGTAACATGCAGATCTGGACGTACGACTCCTATCCTGAAATATAACCTAGTCAATGAGCAGCATTTACCTGATTCTGCGTGTTCATCCTCCAGTGGTACGGAGAGCTCCCGCAGCCTCTCATCCTCCGACAGTGACAGAGAGCCGGAGTCTTCATCCGATTGGCTGTTCCTGCGACTAATCACCCGGTAAATGCCGCAGTCCAGCACATTGAAGCTCTCCTGTAATGCAACACACCAGAGAGGTGTTAGATAATGTCTGCAGTACCTTAGAATGGCCCATAGGGGTACAAAGACAATGAGTTAATCTAGCACAGAGTTCGTCAACTAGCCCCTAGATCAGCGGTTCTCAACCTGGGGGTCGCGACCCCTTTGGGGGTCGAACGACCATTTCCCAGGGGTCGCCTAAGACCATCGGAAAACACATATTTCTGATGGCCTTAGGAACCGAGACACCGCTCCTGTCTCCGGCGTTGTGTGGGCGGGATGATATGCTGCCCCTGTCACCGCCTCCTCGCCGCTGATTGGCCACCGGAACTGTAGCTCAGGAGAGGCACACAGGCGGCCAATCACCGGCGAGAAGGTGGAGCTTGGAGAGGAGGAGAGTCCGAGCGGCAGCGTGCGGAGATCGAAGAAGATCGAGGGAGCTGCAGGAACGAGTGAAGAGAGAGGCCAGAGAAGGAAGACAGCTGACAGGTAAGTGCAAATTTTGCTGCTGCAGCCAGGTATGCAGGCTGTAGATGGGAGAGGGAGAGAGCGAGCCCAGGCTGGAGCAGGAGTCAGCAAGGTAAGTATCATTGGTGTCAGTGGGAGGGATAGTGCCCCATCATTTGTGTCACTAATACCAACAATGGGGCACTATTCCTCCCCCCACTGACACCAATGATGGGGCTCTATTCCTCCCCCACTGACACCAACGATGAGACACTATTCCTCCCCTCACTGACACCAACGATGGGGCACTATTCCTCCCCCCACTGACACCAACGATGGGGCACTATTCCTCCCCCCACTGACACCAACGATGGGGCACTATTCCTCCCCCCACTGACACCAACGATGGGGCACTATTCCTCCCCCCACTGACACCAACGATGGGGCACTATTCCTCCCCCCACTGACACCAACGATGGGGCACTATTCCTCCCCCACTGACACCAACGATGGGGCACTATTCTCCCCCCACTGACACCAACGATGGGGCACTATTCCTCCCCCCACTGACACCAACGATGGGGCACTATTCCTCCCCCCACTGACACCAACGATGGGGCACTATTCCTCCCCCCACTGACACCAACGATGGGGGGCACTATTCCTCCCCCCACTGACACCAACGATTAGGGGCACTATTCCTCCCCCCCCACTGACACCAACGATGGACAGTATTCCTCCCACTGACACCAACGATGGGGCACTATTCCTCCCCCCACTGACACCAACGATGGGGCACTATTCCTTCGCCCCATGTACTGACACCAACGATGGGGCACTATTCCTCCCCCCACTGACACCAACGATGGGGCACTATTCCTCCCCCCACTGACACCAACGATGGGCACTATTCCTCCCCCACTGACACCAACGATGGGGCATATTCCTCCCCCCACTGACACCAACGATGGGGCACTATTCCTCCCCCCACTGACACCAACGATGGGGCACTATTCCTGGACACCTGACGATGGGGCACTATTTCTCCCCCCACTGACATACCAACGATGGGGCACTATTCCTCCCCACTGACACCAACGATGGGGCACTATTCCTCCCCCTGACTGACACCAACGATGGGGCACTATTCCTCCCCCCACTGACACCAACGATGGGGCACTATTCCTCCCCCACTGACACCAAACGATGGGGCACTATTTTACTCCCCCCACTGACACCAATGATGGGGCACTATTCCTCCCCTTTGACTGACACCAATTGGAGTAGGTCACTATTACCTCCCATGCGCTATTATTTGCGCTATCTGGTTAGTGCATTCTACAGCCACATTTCCTACCACAGATGTCACAGATTTACGTCACTCCTATGATAGATTGACTTTGACACCTTTATCACCATTTACACCTTCTTAAACCATGAGAATGTTATAATATTGGTTGCTTAAGACTATTATGGTAGCTGCGTTTATATCTTATTATAGTGGTCACTCCTCATCATGAGATAGATCCATTTATTCTAGCGCTGCATGTTTTTGTATATGACTATTCCTCCCACTGACACCAATGATGGGGCACTATTCCTCCCATACTCATATGGGGCCAATGATGGGGCACTATTCCTCCCACTCATACCAATGATGGGCACTATTCCTTCCACTGACACCAATGATGGGGCACTATTCCTCCCACTCATACCAATGATGGGGCACTATTCCTTCCACTGACACCAATGATGGGGCACTATTCCTTCCACTGACACACCAATGATGGGGCACTATTCCTCCCACTGATACTAATGATGGGGCACTATTCCTCCCACTGACACCAATGATGGGGCACTATTCCTCCCACTGACACCAATGATGGGGCACTATTCCTCCCACTGACACCAATGATGGGGCACTATTCCTCCCACTGACACTGATGGGGCACTATTCCTCCCACTGACACCAATGATGGGGCACTATTCCTCCCACTCATACCAATGATGGGGCACTATTCCTCCCACTCATACCAATGATGGGGCACTATTCCTCCCCCACTGATACCAATGATGGGCACACTATTCCTCCCACTGACACCAATGATGGGGCACTATTCCTCCCACTGACACCAATGATGGGGCACTATTCCTCCCACTGACACTAATGATGGGGCACTATTCCTCCCACTGACGCCAATGATGGGGCACTATTCCTCCCACTGACGCCAATGATGAGGGCACTATTCCTCCCACTGACGCCAATGATGAGGCACTATTCCTCCCACTGACGCCAATGATTGGGCACTATTCCTCCCACTGACGCCAATGATTGGGCACTATTCCTCCCACTGACACCAATGATGGAGCACTATTCCTCCCACTGACTGATGGGGCACTATTCCTCCCCACTGACACCAATGATGGGGCACTATTCCTCCCACTGACACCAATGATGGGACACTATTCCTCCCACTGACACCAATGATGGGGCACTATTCCTCCCACTGATACCAACGATGGGACACTATTCCTCCCACTGACACCAATGATGGGGCACTATTCCTCCCACTGATACCAATGACATATTCAGACATCAGTGATGGGGCGCTAGTCCTCCCACTGCAAAATTACAGTTATGAAGTAGCAACAAAAAAATAATTTTATGGTTGGGGGTCACCACAACATGAGGAACTGTATTAAGGGGATCGCCGCATTAGAAAGGTTGAGAACCACTGCCCTAGATGATGAAAAACTTACATATACTAGCAGGATTAACAAAACCAGTTTTCTTACAGAGTTTGACATTCTTAAAGTGGAACTAAACTGTATCTGATCACCACAAACGAAAAACATAATTTAATTCATTTTTAATATTCAAAGCAAAATCTCCCATTATTATTATTATACAGGATTTATATAGCACCAACAGTTTGCTCAGCGCTTTACAATATAAATCTATCCATGTCTCCATGATTTACTTTATTGAGAAGTTACTTTGAAAAACATCCCCTTAGCCTTTCTAGCCAATGGCCATCTTGAGTATGGGTATATGATTTACGTAGCATTTACTTTCCTGCCTTTAGCTCAGGCATTCAGACAGGAGGGTGTGCTTGGTGACAAAAACCCCCCCTCCCTCCTGAAGACTCCTGGGATGTATGACATTATTTTGGACTAGGCCAGAAACCAGAGAGAGGGGGGAGACAGTAGAATGAGGGGAAGAGAGAGTAGAGAGGGGGGGGGGGAAGAGAGAGAGAGAGTGAGGAAAAGAGGAGAGAGGGGAAGAGGAGAGAGAGGGGAAGAGAGAGAGGGGAAGGAAGAGAGCGGGGGGGGGAAGAGAGAGAGAGAGAAGGGGGGGAGAGAGAGAGGAGAGAGGAAGGGAAGAGAGAGAGAGAGAGAGAGAGGAAGAGAGAGAGAGAGAGAGAGAGAGGAAGGAAGAGAGAGAGAGAGACTAGAGAGAGGAAGAAGAGAGAGAGAGAGATGAGAGGAAGAAGAGATGAGAGAGAGAGAGAGAGGAAAGAAGAAGAGAGAGAGAGAGAGAGGAAGAGAAATGTGAGAGAGAGAGAGAGAGAGAGAGGAAGGAAGAGAGAGAGAAGAGGGTAAGAGAGAGAGAGGAGGGAAGAGAGAGAGAGATGAGACGGGAAGAGAGAGAGAGAGAGAGGAAAAATAAGAGAGAGAGAGAGAGAGGAAGAGAGAGAGTGAGAGAGGAAGAGAGCGAGAGAGAAGAGAAGAGAGAGGAGAGAGAGAGAGAGAGAGAGAGAGAAGAGAGGAGAGAGAGAGAGAGAGGAAGAAGAGAGAGAGAGAGAAGAGAGAGAGAGAGAGAGGAAGAGAGAGAGAGGGGGAGAGAGGGGAGAGGGAAAAGACGAGAGAGAGCGGAAAAAGAGAGAGAGAGGAAAAGAGAGAGAGAGAGAGAGAGAGAATTGGGGGAGAGAGAGGGGAGAGGAGAGAGAGAGGGGGTGAGAGAGAGAGGGGAGAGGAGAGAGGAGGGGGGAGAGGAGGGGAAGAGAGAGGAAGGAGGAGAGAGGGGGGGAGAGAGGAGAGAGGATTGAGAGAGAGAGGAAGAGAGGAGAGAGAGAGAGGAAGAGGAGGAGAGAGAGAGAGAAGAGAGGAAGAGAGAGAGAGAGGAAGAGAGGAGAGAGGAGAGAGAGAAGAGAGGAGAGAGAGAGAGGAAGAGAGGAGAGAGAGAGAGAGAAGAGAGGAGAGAGAGAGAGGAAGAGGAGAGAGAGAGAGAAAGAGAGACAGAAGAGCGAGGGAGAAGAAAGAAGAGAGGGAGAGAAAGAAGAAGGAGAGGGAAGAAAGAAGAGAGGGAGAGAAAGAAGAGAGGGAGAGAAAAGAAGAGAGGGAGGAGAAAGAAGAGAGGGAGAGAAAGAGGGAGGATGAGAGGAGGGAGGATGAGAGGAGAGAGAAAGGTAGAGAGAGGAGAAGGGAGGGAGAGAAAATAAAAAAATAAAAAGAGAGAGAGAGAGAAGAAATAAAGAGAAAAGAGAGAGGAGAGAGATGGAGATGAAACCCCGTAGCCAGGTCCAGCAGTAAACTCTGTATCAGGTCCCCAGGGACAGGCAATATAATGTCCATTAAACAGTTTAAGTATGCTGGAGATTTCTTCCTGGCTAAATAATGGACCCAAGAGACTTCAAGTCACCACTGATGATAAATATCTCCAGGATTACAACAGGCCCTGAACTCACATGGGAGGAGATACTGCTCCGCCTGCTGCTGCATGCTGAATCCATGGGCTCCACGCGGGAAAGGACCTCTTCCATCTGTTTGACCAGATCTGCCTGAAGAACCAGGTCCAGCTGGGACTTCACATGCTCAGCTTGTCCATCGGTAACACCTTCCTTGCCTGAGAAAAACATACAGATACACCAGATATCTCAATGGGTTACTTATGACGAAATGAAAAGGGGTGGTGGAGAAAGGGAAGATGAGGATGGAAAAAAAAAAGGGCGTGAGGTGGAGGAAGGGAAGGCGAGGAAGGAAAAATAAAGGGCGAGAGGTGGAGGAAGGGAAGGGGAGGAAGGAAAAATAAAGTGTGAGAGGTGGGCAAGGAAAGAAGAAAGGAGAAGAAGAAAGGGAAAGGAAGGTGAAGGAAAGAAAGGGATATAGGGAAAAGGAGGGAAAGGGAAGGTGGAAATGGAAGGAGGGAAAGGAAAGATGAAAGAAGGAAATGGAAGGGAAGGGAAAAGGAGGCAAAGGGAAGGAAGAAAAGGAAAGAGGAAGGAGGCAGCTGGAACAGAATGCTCGGGGAAAGGAAAAAAAAAAAAAAGTTAAGGGAAAGGGGAACAGTAAGAAAACAAAAAGAGGGAAATCTAAAAGGAAGGGGTTTTGAGGAAACACTAAAAGGAGGAAAAGTGAAAGAAGGGAGGGAAGGAGAAGAGGAGGGGAAGGGAGGAAGAGTGAAGGGAAGGGAGGGAAAGAGAAGAAGAGTGGGAGGGGACAGGAAGGGGGATTTGAAGGAAATGGTAAGGGAGGTGGAGGCAGGAAATATGAAGGGATAGGTCAGGAGGGAAAGCAAAGAGGAGGGAGAGGAAAAGTTAAGGGCAAGGGAGAGAGAAAAAAATGTAAGGGAAAGATTGGGGGCAATATCTAAAGGAAGGGATAAAGGAAAAAAAAAACGGAAAAGAAGTTGAGGGGAAAAAAAGGGGAGAGAGAAAAAGCTGAAGGAAGAAAGAAAAGGAAAATGGAAAGTAGGTCAAAATTTCAGTTTGATTTGGTTGTAGGGGGTACTGAATTGTCTGCTTTCTTCTTAGTTCTAGACTATCACTGACATTTTTCCTCGCCGCAGTGCATAGTGGTAGTTTCACTTTCTGCCAGTAAGGTTCCATATTAAAGCCTACCAATTTGCCAATCTCATCCTTTTGGCTAGGCACAACATTGCAGTATACCCATCATGCACATACACGTTGGTTCATTCACGTCATCGGTAAACCATTCAGGCTCATGCGCTTGTGATTCTCTGATAATCAGACGAATCTGCGCATGTTGAAAATGTAACAGATTGCTGATGTAACAGAACCGACCCCATACTGCACTTGGGTACTTCTGTTAGGATACCGCTTCCCCGTCCGAACACCGACCACAGACCCCACAGCAGACCATACAAGACTAGACGACACCAATCTTGAAGTAAACCAGGAAAAAGACTACTTTATTTTAACACAGATACAAGATATATACATTCAAGGGAACAACCCCCCCTCCCTGCATAATGACACAGGGCAGGCAATCTACCTTTAGTAAGAAGAGACACACCAACAGACAGTTCCATCAGGAGGGAGGGCTGCTGGAGACACCCCCCACCAAGCCAATACACATAAACACATACATCCCATAATAATCTCAGATCATTATTTCTTAGGGGGGCCAATCCTGGGGGGGGGGGGGGGGGGGTTAGGACACAATCACTTGACTTTGCCATGACAGCAGCAGAGGGCTTAAAATTGGAAATCTGGAGGGACTATCCCACCACTGGAGCACCAACGAGATGTGGAGCAACCCACAATGAAAAAACCATTCCTCGATATAGCCCGATCAACTCACTTTGCCAGAAATTACAGAATTTTGGAAAAGATGGCAGACTCCTGCCGCCAAACCCCATGAGCTCCGTTTAATAAGCCGTTCCACACATCTGTCCACCGGCAGCAGAGAGAAGTGGGAGATCTTCCCATCGATGTGCAGACAGAACAGATCACTCTTATACGCACACATGTCCTGGATGCCTGCAAAAAAGTAGGGAAAGATGGTGTCACCGGCCAGTCATGTGACCTTAGTCACCGCTCCTACCTCCAAAATACCAACCTTTAACCTGACTCCAGAGCAGAACCTGGACGTTCTGAGGAAGGAACACATATAACCCACGGTCTGTCCATGTGACAACACTGTGATCACTGCCGGGAGAAGGACATGAGAACAATTATATAGACGAGGCTTCCCGGCTAATACTGGAGCAGCAGAATTGTTCCTTACCCAAAGAAAAGAAGTTTCCCAAATGCCAAAGACTGGGGAGGTCCAGGAGTTGGGTCATACTGGGGGTCAAACCTACAAAAAATACAAATTTTGAGCACACTGGAAGAAATTATACAATAAAAAGAAGCAAAAAGAAAAAAGAAAAAAGGAACACAGCAGCCAATCTGATCTTTTGTTCTGCTTTCAGATTTCTAATTTCATCTAGAAAACAAAAGGTCGAATCTGATTTGTCATTGTGGATAACATTCCTATGGTGGAAGGATCTAACTGATGGAGAAACGGACATGAAATCATTAGTCCTTCCAAAAGTGATAATGTAGTTGTAGGTGGGCTGAGACGACTCTTATATGTCTGGGATACTCCAGCAGCAAGATCTCTCTGCCAAATTTCCAACTCAGTTTCTGTCTACCTGGAAATTTTGGGTGCCTATTACATTCTCTAATTAATAAAATGATAAATTCAGTAGCGATGGTGGAATCACCTCTTAATGGGCACATCAGGTGTACAGACCTGGGAACTCAGTGCAGGGATGCTGGGAACCCCTCATAATGGGCACAGCAGGTGTACAGACCTGGGAACTCAGTGCAGGGATGCTGGGAGCCACTCATAATGGGCACAGGAGATATGCAGAGCCAGGAACTCGGTACAGGGATGGTGGGAACCCCTCATAATGGGCACAGGAGGTATGCCGAGCCTGGAACTCGGTACAGGGATGGTGGGAACCCCTCATAATGGGCCACAGGAGGTATGCCAAGCCAGGAACTCTACAGGAATGCTGGGAACCCCTCATAATGGGCACAGGAGGTATGCTGAGCCAGGAACTCAGTACAGGGATGATGGGAACCCCTCATAATGGGCACAGCAGGTGTGCCAAGCCAGCCAAGAACTCCCCTCATACAGGGGTATGATGGGAAACCCCTCATAATGGGCACAGGAGGTATGCCGAGCCAAGAACTCAGTACAGGGATGATGGGAACCCCTCATAATGGGCACAGGAGGTATGCTGAGCCAAGAACTCAGTACAGGGATGATGGGAACCCCTCATAATGGGCACAGGAGGTATGCCGAGCCAAGAACTCAGTACAGGGATGATGGGAACCCCTCATAATGGGCAAAGGAGGTATGCCGAGCCAGGAAACTCAGTACAGGGATGATGGGAAACATAATGGGGCCAGCAGGTGTGCCAAGCCCAGAACTAGTATGGGCTGGGAACACAGGAGGTATGCCGAGCCAAACTCAGAACTCGGGGCACAGCCGGCCAAGATGTACAGGGATGGGGAACCCCTCATAATGGGCACAGCCGAGCCAAGAACTCAGTACGGGTGTCATAATGGGCAGACCTGGGAACTCAGTCCCTGAGATTCTGGGAGATTCTGGGAACCCCTCATATTGTGCAGCTCAGCTCATGTATAAAGTCCCCGAGAGATAGAATAAACTGCCAGGAAGTTAATCTCTCCACCTTCTAAGCCAAAATATCACTTTTAGGTGGACCGACCCTTTCATAAATGGCGACATAAAATAAAATCATCCGAGATATGCGAGGAGGAGGAGTAGAGCCCGCCTGTTACGTACCGTGTGCTAATAATCGGCAGAGGCGGGGAAGACAAGAGCTGCTTGAACTGGTGCGTACTCTGTACCTCTCCCTCGAAGTTCACCTCCCACATCCTGGATCCGGGGCGAGCGCAGTATATTAGCGACTGCTGACCTCCAGAGCTCCGCCCACCCGGGAAGAAACACGCGCCATACTCGCCATCTCTCTCCTTGTTACCGATTTTCCAGAACTTCTCCCTTGATGGAGACCATAAAAGACAAAAGGTCGTTCAAAGCATCCCACACCAAGGCGCTAGACTCCCACATTCCACAACAACGTGACAGAGTATTTGGGCCAAGCCTGGAATGGTTCTTCTACAATGTTACATGGAGAAGAACTCTGGTCCAAATAAAAAAAAAAAAAAAAAAAAAAAAAGTTTATGATACCAGAGTTGTTCAGATTTTAAAATTTAACCAATAAAAAAATGGACTTAAACATCTGCAGAAATACCTTACTTGCAATATACAATTACTGAAACATTTTTCACAAAGGCTCCACCATTTACCATCAAAAAGCCGTCCTTTGAGCTTCAAATAGGCTGAGATGAGGTCATCATTCTGCTGCAGGCAGGGAGAAGCATTTTCTCAGTCTTCCCACCCTTAGTGATCAGAATGCAACACTCTAACATTGTAGCAATTCACAAGGTGAAAGGCTGTAGCAGGGGCAGAACTGCGTCAGATGTTTGTGAACACAGCTATGAACTGCATAGGCATGAGCCAGCACACCAGCCTTGAAAGTAGATAATGAAGGTGGATGATGACTGAACAAAGATGGAGCTGTCCTTCTGCCCCCCCCCTGCTCTACAATCATTGGGAGCTCTATTTGTACCTGCCCCTACCAATGAGCGCTATAAAACGCTGAAGTGGTGGTGAGTAGCATCTAATTATCAACCTCTAACTATGGATTTCTGATACATTTTGATACATTTTTATAATGAAAGTAAACTTTGGTGTCTAATTTCTAGGGCCGTGGCATGTCTAGAAGACACCAATCTCACCGGAGTCACCCTTTGTCTCCTCCCCTGACCTACCTCTGAGCTGCTGTCCCCTAACCCACCTTGTGTCCCTTGTCTCCTCTCCCCTAACCCCTAACCCACCTCTGAGCACTGTCCCTTGTCTCCTCTCCTCCCCTAACCCCTGACCCTACCACTAAGCGCTGTCCCTTGTCCTCCCCTCCCCACTTACCCACCCCTAAGCGCTGTCCCTTGTCTCCTCCCCTTACCCCTGACCTACCACTAAGCGCTGTCCCTTGTCTCCTCCCCTGACCTACCTCTGAGCACCGTCCTTTGTCTCCTCCCCTGACCTACCTCTGAGCACCGTCCTTTGTCTCCACCCCCTATCCATTCCCTAGTACTGTTCGTTGGAGAATACAGAGCCAAGTATCATTTTGTGGTGTTAAGTAATTTGTATGGCATTCGTTAATGATAATATATCCCCCACCAGCAACAATAGATCCTTTCCAGCAATAATAGACCCACCAGAAACAATAGACCCCTGCTGGCAACAATATATCCCCCAGCAGCCAGCATCAACAGTGGATCCTGTCAAAGAACCCGAGAGCAACAATGGATCCCCCAGCAGCCAACATTAATAGACCCCCTCAACAGTAGATCCCCCAACAATATAAAAACCCCAAAGCAACAATAAATTGCCCAGCAATCAGCATCAATAGACCCCCCCCCCCCCCCCCCTCAACAGAAATTCCCCCTAACAACATAACAATATAAACCCCGCCAGCAACAATAGATCCCCCTGCAACAATAGATCCTTTCCAGCAACAATAGTTCCCCCAGCAGCCAGCATCAATAGACCCCCCTCAACAGTAGATCCCCAACAACATAAGAACCCCAGAGCAACAATAGATACCCCAGCAGCCAGCATCAGTAGACCCTCCCCTCTCAACAGCAGATCCCCCAAACAACATAAGAACTCCAGATCAACTATATATCCCCTACCAGCAACAATAGATCCCCAGCAACAATCTTCCCCCCGTTAGCACTACACCCTAGCTACAATAGATCACCAGAAATCAACATCAATAGACCCTTCAGCATACCCCAGCATGCGATTCCATGCACATGCCTTCGGTGCTGGAGGTGCGGGGACAGCGTTGCCCCGCAGGAAAGCCCTGAGACTAAGGAAGTGGTAAAGAAATTATCTTTTATCCGCTTACAGCGGTCACACAAATGAAAAATGAATTGTGATTGGCTGGCATGATAAGAGTATTTTACACATTGGTTGGGCTTATCAGCTAAAGAAAGCGGTACCTACCTCTCAGTGTCACATAGATAAGAGCGCGTCAGGGAGGAGATCAGAAGCCGACCATCTAAATAATCGAGCTGTACTACCCGGGAGTCTACACTGGTAATGATCTGAACCGGGAACATCACAAAAGCCGCAGCAGCCTGGTCAGAGGAAAGAAGGGATCGGGTTTAGGAGAAGAGCTCAGGGACACCATTACAATTCACAGGGCAGGATTTTTGGCATCCATCAGCATCCTCTCAATGACACCCGGTATAGTCATTTGGGATGAGAGTGCAATGGATCCTGACATAAAGTATGTCTACACCAAGGACAGGCAGCAGGAGAACTGACAGCACAGTCAGTACATTACTAGGGAGCAAAGCGGAGGATAGAAGCTGCCAGGGAGGAGCAGGATGTTGACTTTTAGCCCTATCGCTGCCAGATGTTCTTGCATTTTATGCACACATTTAAAAAATCATTTTAGGCCTGAAGATGACACAACCCCCCCCCAAATCATTATTTATGTTCAAAATATATACAGTATATTATATTTTGAAAGCAGACACCCCTAGAGGATAAAATGGTATTAGCTCCAATTTTTTAATGTCATTCAATATTACTGCAAAATGTCAGTAAAAAAAAAAAAAAAAAAACACCACATTAAAGTGAATTTTAGGGTAACAAATGCAATAAATGACCCAGATTTTAGGTAAAGTATAAAAGATATAATAGATACCCAACATGCCAACCAAATGTTTGTTATAGCGTCTACAAATGGCGGCATATATACAGGAATTTGTTTTTTCTTTTACTAGTAATGGCAGCAATCAGTGACTTATAGCGGGACTGCGGCAGACATTCTGACACTGGGGGGGGGGGGGGGGGACGGACTTGGTGTCACTGACATCCCCTGTGACACCAATACAGTGATCAGTGCTATAAAAAAAAAAAAAAAAAAAAAAAAGCACTGACACTGTACTAATGGCACTGAGCAGGAAGGGGTTAACATAAGGAGTGATCAAAGAGTTAACTGTGCTTTACACTGTAAACACACTGCTTTGTATGGCTGTGCTACGCAGAGCCATACAAAGCAGTGTGCAGGAGCTGACAGGGGAGAGATCTGTATTGTTTACATAACATGAGGGGCTGTGTGCTGGGTGTGTTTTACTGTGGGGCGGTGTCTGTGTGCTTCACTGTAAGCACACTGCTTTGGATGGCTGTGCACAGCCATCCAAAGCAGTGTGCACAAGCTGACAGGGAGAACTGTTAGTAAACAAAACAGTTCTCCTCCCCATCGGAGATCACTAGGTGGCGGTGAGTAAACACCGGCCGGGACCCGGTGATTGAAAGCCGCAGCAGCAAATGGCAGGGTTCCTGGAAGAAACCCACGCAGGCACAGGGAGAACAAGCAAACTCCAGGCAGGTGGTGCTGTGGTTGGGATTCGAACCAAGGACCCCAGTGCTACTGCCAGGCAGAAGTGCTAACCATTTGGCCACTGTGCTGCCCCATTAATAATTTCATATTATCACATAATCTTCTAAGATTGGAAACAGCGGTAGGTGTTATTTGGGCAGTAAGAGGTTAATTAGATGACCTTTTTTTTTTTTTTTAATGCACGCCTACCTTTCCTTGCTTGGAAGAGTTCACTTTGATTGCCGACACTTTGCCCATGTGATCTCCAACGAAGACCCGCAGTACTGACGTGTCCCAGCAGAGGGCAGTCACCTTCCTGCCCTTGTGCTCGGAAGAGACGTAGATGCGCTCGGGCTTCCCGCGGCGTTCCTGGTTCAGCTCCCAGACCACCACAATTCCCTGGCTGCAAAATAAATATATGATTATCAAAACCGGGGAGACTACAGCGGGGAAAAAATGTATTTGATCCCCAACAGATTTTGTAAGTTTGGCCACTTACAAAGAAATGAAGGGTCTATAATTTTTTTTATCATAGGTGTATGTTAAACGATAGAGACAGAAAATCGACCAAAAATCGATACAAATGTTATAAATCGAGTTGCAGTTCAGTGAGTAAAATAAGTGTTTGATCCCCTACCAACCAACAATGATTCTGGCTCCCACAGACTGGCTATGTGCTCATGTGGTATACAGATTAGTCCGGACGCTTTCCCCCCCCCTTCCAGTCCGGACACTTTCCCCCCCTTCCAGTCCGGACACTTTCCCCCCTTCCAGTCCGGACGCTTTCCCCCCTTCCAGTCCGGACGCTTTCCCCCCCTTCCAGTCCGGACGCTTTCCCCCCCTTCCAGTCCGGACGCTTTCCCCCCCTTCCAGTCCGTACGGATCGGACGCTTTCCCCCCCTTCCAGTCCGGACGCTTTCACCCCCCTTCCAGTCCGGACGCTTTCACCCCCCTTCCAGTCCGGACGCTTTCACCCCCCTTCCAGTCCGGACGCTTTCACCCCCCTTCCAGTCCGGACGCTTTCACCCCCCCTTCCAGTCCGGACGCTTTCACCCCCCTTCCAGTCCGGACGCTTTCACCCCCCTTCCAGTCCGGACGCTTTCACCCCCCTTCCAGTCCGGACGCTTTCACCCCCCCCCTTCCAGTCCGGACGCTTTCACCCCCCTTCCAGTCCGGACGCTTTCACCCCCCTACCAGTCCGGACGCTTTCCCCCCCTTCCAGTCCGGACGCTTTCCCCCCCTTCCAGTCCGGATGCTTTCCCCCCCTTCCAGTCCGGACGCTTTCACCCCCTTCCAGTCCGGACGCTTTCACCCCCTTCCAGTCCGGACGCTTCCCCCCCCCTTCCACTCCGGACGCTTCCCCCCCCCTTCCAGTCCGGACGCTTCCCCCCCCTTCCAGTCCGGACGCTTCCCCCCCCCCTTCCAGTCCGGACGCTTTCCCCCCCCTTCCAGACCGGACACTTTCCCCCCTTCCAGTCCAGGCCAATTTTCAGCTTTCAGTGCTATCACACTTTGAATGACAATTGCGCGGTCATGCAACACTGTACCCATATGAATTTTTTAGCATTTTTTTGAGACAGATAAAGCATTATTTTGGTGGTATTTATTCACCGCTGGGATTTTTATTTTTTTTACTATATAAATGAACAAGTCCAAAAATTTTGGAAAAAAAGTGTTTTTCTTATAAAATTTTGCAAATAAATATTTCATCATAAATCTTGACCAAAATTTATTCCGTTATCTTTAGTAAAAAAAAAAAAAAAAAAAACCAAATTTGTTTGTAACCAAAAATTATAATTTTTAAAAAAATTACATTTTTATTTTTTTTTTTGTATAATTTTTTTTTTCTACATACTGTCACCCTAGCAGTACATTGTCACCATGGTGACACTACTACTTGTGGGGGGTGAGGAAATTTTTTTTTTTTTTTTTTTTTTTTTACACTAATTGCTTTTACACCCATAAAGGCTGTAAAAGCAATAATTTCTCCTTCATTCTTGCAGCCATTGAGAAATACTGTGTGAGCGGTGATTGGTCACAGCTTGTCACATGGTACAAGGTTGTTGTGAATAGCCCTGTACCATGTGATCTCTGATCATTCACAGATTTCACACGTAGTAAGCAATGATGTCAGAAGTGACACCTTGCTTACTACTCTGCATGTGATCACTGATTGGCCAATCAGTGATTACATGATCGGGACCTGGCACAGAGTTCCCGTACGACGATCGGTGTTCCCGTGTCCGGAGGACACTGTGGGCACCAGATTGCAATGCTGCGCTCCCAGGGAGCACGCACAGTCCAAAATGGCGGGTGCCGTTTTTTGAACGGCAACCCGCCCCTGGACTGCCACCATCCGGCCGTTTATATACAGCAGCCAGACGGAAAGTGGTTAAGAAGGTGCTGCCAATGAGTGTATACGTTTCCGGTCATACTGGATGTGCACTGGCATGCGTTTTGCATGCCATGCGACTTGCAGGTCACACCCTATTGTCCGCAATTAGAGCGGTCATATCGGCGCGGTCTGATTTGATCAAAGCTGCAACGATTTCTAAAGTACTCCATACACAACTTTTGGTGCAATCTGCATAGACATCTGTGTCAGATGTCTAGCAAATCGCACCTGAAATCTGCATGACATCACTGGGAGTCGCGGGATTTCAAAGTCGGGGTTTGGTGTGACCGGGGTGTAAAAGATACCCGTCCACAGAATCTCTTTCTTCCATTCAAACCTCACCATCGTAGGAAAAGAGCTGTCAAAGGACATCAGGGACAAGATTGTAGACCTGCACAAGGCTGGAATGGGCTACAAGACCATCAGGAAGAAGCTTGAGAAGGAGACAACTGTTGGAGCGATTATTCGTAAACGAAGAAATACAAAATCACCATCAATCGCCCTCCGTCTGGAGCTCCATGAGGGATTTCGGCTCATGGGGTAAAGGATGGTCATGAGAAAAGTGAGGGATCAGCCCAGAACTACACAGGAAGAGATTGTGAATGATCTCAAGCAGGGGCGGACTGACAACTCATGGGGCCCCTGGGCAATAGGGGATCATGGGGCCCCTGTGTCCTTGCCCAAACTCAAAAAAGCCTATGAAAAAGGTACCAGGGGCATCTCATGGGGCCCCACACTGACCCCGGGCCCTCGGGCAGTGCCCAAGTTTCCAAATAGTCAGTCCGCCCCTGATCTCAAGGCAGTTGGGACCACCAGTCACCAAACAAACCATTGGTAACACAATACGCCACCATGGATTGAAATCCTGCAGCTCCCGAAAGGTCCTCCTCCTCAAGAAGGCACATTTCCAGGACCATCTGAAGTTTGCCAATGAACATCTAAATGATTCAGAAGGATTGGGAGAAAGTGCTGTGGTCAGATGAGACCAAAATTCAGCTCTTTGGCATTAACTCGTCATGTTTGGGGGAAGAAAAATGCTGACTATGACCCTAAGAACACCATCCCTACAGTCAATCCCGGAGGTGGAAACATTGTGCTTTGGGGCTGCTTCTCTGTTAAAAGGTACAGGCCGACTTTGCCGCATTGAGGGGCCAATGGACAGGTCCATGTATTGTAAAATCTTGTATGAGAACCTTCTTCCCTCAACCAGAACACTGAAGGGTCATGGATGGGTCTTCCAGCATGACAATGACCCAAAACATACGGCCAAGGCAACAAAGGAGTGGTTCAAGAAGAAGCACATTGAGGTCATGGAGTGGCCTAGCGAGTTGCAGACCTTAATCCTATAGAAAATTTATGGAGGAAGACGAAACTTCGAGTTGCCAAGCAACAGCCAAGAAACCCTGAGGATTTAGAGAAGATCTGTGAAGAAGAGTGGACCAAAATCCCTCCTGAAATGTGTGCAAACCTGGGAACCAACTACAAGGAACGTCTGACCTCTGTGCTCGCCAACAAGGGTTCCTCCACCAAGTACCAAGTCATGTTCTGCTTGGGGATCAAATACTTATTGTACTCACTGAACTGCAACTCAGTTTATATGTTTTTTTCTCACTTTTTGGGCGATTTTCTGTCTCTATCATTTAAAATACACCTATGATATAATTATAGACCCTTCGTTTCTTTGTAAGTTACAAAATCTGCCGGGGATCAAATAAATACTTTCCCCACTGTAACTCCTCCCAAACTTGACTTCCAACAGAACACATTGTGGGGGGGGGGATTAGTTACTTAACCTCTTGGTGCCGGCCGAACGCAAATGTGTGGCCTCCCGTCATCTGGGCCTAGACCCCGAGCGGCCGCACATTTGCGTTTTATTAAAAAAAAACATATGTGCTGAGAGCACGCGCCCCTCACGGTACTCACGGAAAGGTCCCAATCTCCTCTTTCGATCGGGACCTTTCCCGATCATGTGATCACCGTGACAGAAAATCACAGCGGTCACATGACCCTAAAACCCCGCCCCCACCACCCTTAAAGGTCCGGGAGGTGCCGGCGCCAAGGGGTTCAACTACAGAGTGCAAAAAACTGGTGCAGCTCTGCATAGAAACCAATCAACTTCCAGGTTTTATTGCCAAAGCTTAATTGAACAAGCTGAAGGTAGAAGCTGATTGGCTGCCATGCACAGCGCCACCAGATTCTGAGGGCTCCGGTTTAGTAAATCTCCCCCATGGAGCGATATATATACAGGGCTATTGTTCAGCAGGAACGCAGTTCCGGCACCTCCAGCGCTGAATGTATGTAATAGCAAGGGCCTCTAGGGGTCTATTGTTGCTGGTGGGGGATTTATTGGTGCTGAGTGGTCTATTGTAGCTGGAAGGGATCTACTGTTGAGGGAGGGGTCTATAGTTGCTGGCTGCCGGAGGGTCTATTGATGCTTGCTGCTGGGAGATCTATTGTGGCTGGTGGGGGATTTATTGCTGCTGACTTGTCTATTGTTGCTGAGAGGGATCTATTGTTGAGGGAGGGGTCTATAGTTGCTGGCTGCTGGAGGGTCTATTGTGGCTGTTTTGGCACCTCCAGCGCTGAATGTATGTAATAGCAAGGGCTGCTAGGGGGTCTATTGTGGCTGGTGGGGATATATTGGTGCCGAGTAGTCTATTGTTGCAGGGAGGGATCTATAGTTGCTGGCTGCTGGAAGGGTGTATTGATGCTAGCTTCTGGGAGATCTATTGTGGCTAGTAGGGGATTTATTGGTGCTCAGTGGTCTATTGTTGCTGGGAGGGATCTATTGTCAAGGGAGGGTATGGGTCTATAGTTGCTGGCTGCTGGAGGGTCTATAGCTGCTGGGAGATGTATTGTGACTGGTGGGGGATTTATTGGTGCTGAGTGGTCTATTGTTGCTGGGAGGACTTTATTGTCAAGGGAGGGAGGGATCTATAGCTGCTGGGAGATGTATTGCGGCTGGTGGGGGATTTATTGGTGCGGAATGGTCCATTGTTGCAGGTTCCTACCTGGTTGCTACAGCCACAAAGTCGTCATCATGGGGGCAGCAGGCGACCCTGGAAATGGCTCCTTCCTGGGACACAAGCAAAAGGAAGCTGATCAATGGATGCAGAATCTGATGGGGTTGTTCGGTATGTGGACGGAACACAAAGTATCAAAAAGTATCAACTTTACATCATCAAGTCACCGTAATAACGAAGGCTCCATTCACACTTGTGCGACTTTACAGCCGTGCACCTCTAGGATCAAGCCCCCCCCCCCCCCCCCCCCCCAGGGGGAGCCACTCAAACCTGTCCCTGGAGTCCAGTGCATGTGAGATGGCCTCAGTTGCCGCTTCGGCCACACACTCTGTGTTTCGCCCCACCCACTGGGGGGGGGGGCCTTAATCCCATTAAGATGTGACTTTCATGCAGCTTTTGAGAGTTAAGGCTCCATTCACACTTATGCGACTTGTCATGCAATTTTGGGGTCCAAAGTTGAGTGACAAGTCGCCCCCCCCATGTTTCCTAATGGGTACCATTCATATCTGTGGACTGCAAGCAGCAGCGACTTCAAAAGTAGTTCCTGCACTACTTTGGTCCGACTTTCATGCGACTTGAGAGCCAAAGACTTCAATGTAAACCCTCTAAAGTCGCACCTGAATGTTGTACATGCGACTTGTGTGCGACTTTGTACAGCGGAAACAATTATCCTTGGTCAAAACCAAAGTCGCACTCATCCAAAGTTGCATGAAAGTCGCACCTGAAGGTTGTACATGCGACTTGTGTGTGACTGCACTACACTTTGGTCTGACTTTCATGCGACTTGAGGGCCAAAGACTTCAATGTAAACCCTCCTAAAGTCGCACCTGAATGTTGTACATGCGACTTGTGTGTGACTGCACTACTTTGATCCGACTTTCATGCGACTTGAGGGCCAAAGACTTCAATGTAAACCCTCCAAAGTCGCACATGAAAGTCACACATGTGACTTGTGTGTGACTTCGTACAGCAGAAACAATTATCCTTGCTCAAATTTGCATCAAAGTTGCAGTAAAGTCGCACTGTAAAGTCACAATGAAAAATCGTACGATTTTGAAGTCGCACAAGTGTGACTAGAGCCTTGCACTGCAGTCTATGGTGCTCTCATCGCATCAAAGTCGCTCAGGAACCTTTTTAAAGTCACCGCAACTTTAATTTGCGTAGATTTGAACGGTTTCCTTTGAAATACACGGCCTGCGGCTGGTCGGGAGTCGCACGTGTCTAAAGTCGCATGGCAAGTCGCACGAGTGTGAATGGAACCGGAGAAAGACTCTGCATGTCAGGATTGGTTTACCTTGTGTGTGAGGATGAGTCTGTGCTTCCAGCCGTCTTTCTGGATGAGGTTGAGACCCCCTCCGGAGCTGCCGAGAGCCAACCATCTCCGGGACACGGCCAGGCAAGTGCACTGCAAATACAGAGAGGATACGGATTACAGACAGGTGACCCCGTCATAGAAATATTCACTGCGTTGTCCAAACCTTCGTAGTCACCGGTCACACCCATCCCGACTTTGAAATCCTGCGACTTACAGTGAAGTCGCAAGATTTCAAAGTTGAATGACGTGCACAGAGGTGGACTGACAACTCACGGGGCCCCCGGGCAATAGAGGATCATGGGGCCCCTGTGTCCTTGCCCAAACTCAAAAAAGCCTATGAAAAAGGTACCAGGGGCATCTCATGGGGCCCCTACTGACCCCGGGCCCTCGGGCAGTGCTCGAGTTTCCAAATGGTCAGTCCACCCCTGGAAGTGCAGATTTGAGGTGCGATTTGAGAGACATTGACACAGATGTCTATGCAAATCACACCAAAATTTCCACTACGTTAGAAATCGGTGCTGTAATGGCGGACAATAGGGTGCGATTTGAAAATCCCATGCCAAGTCGCACCTGGTGCAACCGGCGACCAAATGGGGGCAATCCAACCCAAGCTGTATTTAAATGAGTTAAAAGCGATAATAAACCCAAAACCAGAAATGTAATATACAGTATTGCAGCTTATCGATCGCTAGATGTGGCGACTGCATTAGTTTTCTTTTTTTTTTTAGGCTTTCCCCCTTTGTTTTCACTTGATCCGGCCAGTAACACGCCTCCTGTATCACCCCAGATTCACACCGAAGCGTCTTCCGCAGTACAGGTCATTTCACATGATTTCCTATGGGACAGGTTCACGTCTCCACGTTTTCACCCGCTGTGGCTGTGTTTTTTGGAAAGGGTCAGCGACTTTTTTGAATGCAAAACAAGTTGACGCCCATGTTTTCCAATGGGTACCATTCATACCTGTGCGACTTCAAGTCGCAGCAAACTTTAAAGCAGTTCCTGCACTACTTTGGTCCGACTTTCATGCGACTTGAGGGTCATAGACTTCAATGTAAACTCTGCACTGTCGCATGAAAGTCGTACCTGAATGTTGTACATGAGACGTGTGTGCGACTTTGTACAGCAGAAACAATTATCCGTGGTCAAAGTCGCAGTTGTCCAAAGTTGCATTAGGTCACACTGTAAAGTCGCAATGAAGGAAAAAAAAAAAAAAAAAAAATCTCAAAATTTTGAAGTCACACAAGTGTGAAAAGGAACCCTTAAAGGGTCAGTCCACCCGAAAGTGCTACTCGGGTTCCAGTTGAAGTCTGGTGGGGCGGAGTCAATCCCAGCTGTCTTCCATGTCTAGGATACTCCCAACGATGAGTCTAGCTCCCAACTCTGTTCCGGATCACCTGGGCATCTCGGGTGTTCCCGCCCACTTTTGTGTGTCGCAGCGCCTCCTGTTATGTTCTTCGTGATAATAAATACAGATCCAGCAGGGATGGTGAGAACCCCCACAATGAGCACAGAGTGCGCTGCACACTGTGAGCGTCCCACAATGTGCGTTAGAAACTGCAGCAAGTCAGATGGAGCTCCGCCTCATTTCCTGGCTGGAGGACGTCCAGCATCACCTAGCGCTCGATTGTCCCTGGACCCGCACCATTGTCCCTGGACCCGCACCATTGTCCTGGACCCGCCCCCGCCCATATGTCCCTGGACCCGCACCATTGTCCCTGGACCCGCACCATTGTCCCTGGACCCACACCATTGTCCCTGGACCCGCCCATATGTCCCTGGACCCGCCCATATGTCCCTGGACCCGCACCATTGTCCTGGACCCGCACCATTGTCCCTGGACCCGCCCATATGTCCCTGGACCCGCACCATTGTCCCTGGACCCACACCATTGTCCCTGGACCCGCCCATATGTCCCTGGACCCGCCCATATGTCCCTGGACCCGCGCACCATTGTCCCTGGACCCGCACCATTGTCCCTGGACCCGCACCATTGTCCCTGGACCCGCACCATTGTCCCTGGACCCGCACCATTGTCCCTGGACCCGCACCATTGTCCCTGGACCCGCACCATTGTCCCTGGACCCGCACCATTGTCCCTGGACCCGCACCATTGTCCCTGGACCCGCACCATTGTCCCTGGACCCGCCCGATATGTCCCTGGACCCGCCCATATGTCCCTGGACCCGCTCGATTGTCCTGGCCCAGGAGCAGACTGACCAATCGAGCACTCGGGCACTGCCCAAGGGTCCGGGGTCAGTAGGGGGCCCCATGAAATGCCCCTGGTACCTTTTATAGGCTTTTTTGGGTGTGGTTTGAGTGTGGGCATGGACACAGGGGCCCCATGATCCCTTATTGCCCGGGGGCCCCATGAGTTGTCCCTGGACCCGCACGATTGTCCTGGCCCAGGGGCGGACTGACCATTCGAGCACTCGGGCACTGTCCGAGGGCCCAGGGTCAGTAGGGGGCCCCATGAAATGCCCCTGGTACCTTTTTATAGGCTTTTTTAGGTGTGCTTAGAGTGTGGGAGAGGACACAGGGGCCCCATGATCCCCTATTGCCAGGGGCCCCCATGAGTTGTCAGTCTGCCTCTGCCCTGGCCCCGCCCCTTTTCATTCATTGGATTTCAGTTCTTTTAATCAGGGAGGCTCAGCAGCACATCTGGGCAAGACCTAGGCTGGCCTTGCATGCGAGTACCTCCGCTCCTCCAGACCATGAAGCTATTTTGATATTTGCATAACTCCTCCCAAGAGCCAGCCCACTGCTTGCATCAGGGCTCTTGAGAGGAGTACTAAGGCAGGGGGCTGTGATGGTTTTTAGGAAGCTATGTACAGGCCCCTCCCACCAGCCAGGATCTGCCTTCATTGCATAGAGAAGCCCAGAGACCCAGTCATGACATCATGTATGTAACGAGAACAGAAACGTTTTATTGAAATTTTTCTTTTGATATTTGAAAAAAAATATTTCAGGGGAGGGGGGGAGAGAGAGAGAGAGAGACAAACCTTCAGCCGGCTGGAATCCAATCGCAGCGCTGACAGCAGGGGGTCCAGAGAATCGAATTCCGCCAGGACATGGCTGGGGGAATCAGACACCACGGCCGCCATGGAGGAAGTGGGTGAAATCGTCAGTCGCTGGTTACATCACCTGGAAGGACAGAGAAGAGATCTGGGAAATGTATTTCATGACACATGCAGCTTCCGGACCACCACACTGTATAATGACTCTGTGCTCTGCAACCTCCCTCTCATGCTGCTTTTTTTTAACCAGCCATTTGTTTCAGGTTTTGCACACATGATAAACTGCACACTTTAGGCCCGAAGATTAGTTAAACCTCCAAAACAGAATATATTTTCTGAAAGCAAAGACAATGGGTGGGCGGGGCTGGGGGGGGTGCAGTTGCACCAGGCACTGTGATACTATGGGAGGTGTGGGGGTGGGGAGCACTGCAAGGAGATTGGAGGGGGGGTAGGGATTTGTGTAAGAAGGATGAATTTGGGGGGGAGAAGTATTTTTATAAGAGGGCAGATTGTGGGGGGGATTTGTGTAAGGAGGAGGAATTTGGGGGGGGAGAAGTATTTTTATAAGAGGGCAGATTGTGGGGGGATTTGTGTAAGGGGAGAAGTAGAAGTTTTCATAAGAGGGCAAATTGGGGGGGGGGGGTAGAATGCAAATAGTGATCATTTAGGGGGATTTGTGTTGGGAGAGGGGGTGGGGATCCATGCTGGGAGGGGGGAGGATTTGCAGTGGGGGAAGAAAGAAGATGTGTATGGGGAGGGGAAATTTTAGGCATACGGGATTTGTGCTAGGACAGGTTTTTTTTTTTTTTTTTTTTGGGGGGGGGGGGGGGGCAAACCTGGGGGGATTTGGGGGGGGCAAAGATTTGTGCTCGGAGGGGGGATTTCAGCAGGGAGGCGGATTTGTACAAGGGCGAATTTATACTTGGGGGGGGGGGGGGGGGGGAGGGGTGTTGAGCATTAAAATTAGTGCGTAGGTTGTTTTTTTTGGGGGGGGGGGCATTTTTGCTGACGCATAAGGCTCAAACATCTTCAGGGGGGCACAGTTTGCAAGTTCACTCTGGACTATAGAGGACCTTGTTCAAGCACTGTTTTCAGGAAGCTATGTGCAGCACCCTGTTGGCCCCTCCCACTCAGCCGTGATCTGCCTGCATTGTATAGAGAAGCGCAGGGACCCAGCAATGACATCAGTAGATATAAAAAAAATTAAATTTAGTGACAACGTAAAGATTTATTTAAATCATTTCATGTTGATGGGGGGGGGGGGGGGGGGGAGGGTAGAACCAGGAAAAGCAAAAAGAATGAAAATGACATGTAAAGTTGCTGAATCTTGTATAGATTACAGTGATGGAGATTTCTCGGGTTTATGGCCGACACGTTATGAGGGTCTCGGAGATGTTTTGTGCGGCAGAATTTCTGCACTGATCTCCGGCTCATCATTCTGCTCCCATAAGAGCCATCCTGCAGAGACCACAAATGTTCGGCTGACTCCATGCTGTCCCTGGACCGGTCCCTGGGGACCCCCGGCGCACACATGATACGACTTCAGGTCTTCCAGTAATTGCATCTCCGGGAGAAAACATTACCGCTCCCCTCCACTTCCAGTATCGATCGGAGGAAGAGGCTCATCTCCTGAAGGTCATCAGCGAGGACACAAGTCGATCCTCGTGTTGTGTCTCTGCAATGCTGGAGCCGTCCAAGTTCTACCAACCTTCAACCAAAGCCACCCAAAAGTGAGCCTGGTGGGTCATGTCATTTCCCCTGGCTTCTTTACCCTACCCATCATAGTGCCTGGCCACGTGCCCAACCGAGTGTGTGCCCACCATGTGTTCCTGGCTGTGTGTCCATCCCTGTGTCCAATCTGGTGTGTGTGCCCACTATGTCTTCCTGGCCACATTGCCAACCTAGTGTGTGCCCACCATGTGTTCTTAGCTGTGTGCCCAACCATGTGCGCAACCGGAGGTGTTGCCACCATTTGTTCTTGGTTGTGTGCCCAACCTAATGGGTGTCCACCGTGTGTCCAACCTAGTGTGTGCCCACCATTTGTTCCTGGCTGCGTGCCAAACCTAGATTGCCCACCATGTGTTCCTGGCTGATGCCCAACCATGTGTGCCCATGTGCCCAACCTGGTGTGTTCCCACCATTTGTTCCTGGTTATGTGCCCAACCTAGTGTGGACCCAACATTTGTTCCTGGCGGTGTGTCCAAACCATTTGCCCAACTTAGCGTGTGCCCACCATGTGTTCCTGGCTGTGTACCCAACTATGTGCCCAACCTAGTGTGTGTGCCCACCATTTGTTCCTGGCTGTGTGCCGAAACCTAGTGTGTGCCCACCATGTCCCACCATGTGTTCCTGGCTGTAGGCCCAACCTAGTGTGTGCCCACCACTTGTTCCTGGCTGTGTGTCCAACCTAGTGTGTGCCCACTATGTCACCATGTGTTCCTGCCTGTGTGTCCAACCTAGTGTGTGCCCACCATGTCACCTTGTGTTCCTGGCTTTGTTACCAACCTAGTGTGTGCCCACCATGTCACCATGTGTTCCTGGCTGTGTGCCCACTATGTCACCTTGTGTTCCTGGCTGTGTGTCCAACCTAGTGTGTGCCCACCATGTCACCTTGTGTTCCTGGCTGTGTGTCCAACCTAGTGTGTGCCCACCATGTCACCTTGTGTTCCTGGCTGTGTGTCCAACCTAGTGTGTGCCCACCATGTCACCTTGTGTTCCTGGCTGTGTGTCCAACCTAGTGTGTGCCCACTATGTCACCTTGTGTTCCTGGCTGTGTGTCCAACTTGATGTATGTTCCCACCATTTGTTTCTGGCTGTGTGTCCAACCTAGTGTGTGTCTACCATGTGTTACTGGCTGCGTGCCCAATCAGTCATGGGAGGAACCAGAAGGTCGGGGACCTGCAGCTCGGTCTATGGGAACTGCAAGCACCAGTACACATACCTCCCAACATTCTAAAACAACAAAGAGGGACATTTGTAGCGCAAAGTATATAGTTGAGGGGCACACCCCCAGAGACATGAAGCATGCAGAATACACAAAAAATGGTAAAACCTACACATAATTACCCATAATAACAATATCCATTCCATTAGGGGGGGTAAAAGAAGTACAGGACAGTCCAACACATTTAATGGTTGCACAGGCTTGTCTTCATAAAAGAATTTTTAGAGAAATTCCCATGACAAACCTGCGTGGGATATATGCTTTTGTGGGAATGGAGAAAAAAATTGAATGTTATTAGGCTATTTTGTCTCCAGTTCGAATGTTATTCATTCAAAAAGTATAGAGCGAATCAGGAAAATGCCTCATAATGGCCACTAGAAGGAGCCGACAATCATGGGAAATAAATATTCATCAGCGTCATCTAGTGGCCATAATGTGGTATTGATTTGACTCACTGTACCCTTTTTGAATGAATAACAATCGACCTGGAGAGAAAACAGCCTAACAACATTCATTCTTTCCCCCCATTGCACAGAACACATGCGGTGTCACAGGACGAACAGCTCTGCAAACGTTTTATACATATACACCTATTCTGGAGTAAGGAGGAATTAGAGTCCAATATAAGGACAGTCCCTACAATTCAGGGACAGGCGGGAGGAATGAACACACTGGAAGATAGACTGGTCTGTGAGATGATGAAAGGGTTAAATGTGAGTCACGTGACCCTTTCTGGCAGCCATGTAGGGAAGGGAAGTTAGCTCAGTCGTGCCGTGTGCTGCTTGTTCATCCTTTTCACATTATAACAATCGTACAAAACATGACGTCCGGAGTGTATAGAAACCCCAACCATGAACGTCTCGTTAGTTCCCCTTCCATCTGTAAAGTGTTACTAAACCCTGGACCCCACATTCACTGTGTCCCGCTCTCCCCGGACCCCGCATTCACTATATCTGCTCTCCCCGGACCCCGCATTCACTATATCCGCTCTCCCCGGACCCCTGCATTCACTATATCCTGTTTCCCGGGACCCCTCATTCACTATATCTGGTCTCCCCGGACCCCGCATTCACTGTATCCGCTCTCCCCAGGACCCCGCATTCACTATATCCGCTCTCCGCCGGACCCCGCATTCACTTTTATCCGGTCTCCCCGGACCCCGCATTCACTTTATCCGGTCTCCCCGGACCCCGCATTCACTATATCCGCTCTCCCCGGACCCCGCATTCACTATATCCGCTCTCCCCCGGACCCCGCATTCACTATATCCGCTCTCCCCGGACCCTCATTGCATTCCCCGGACCCTATATATATCCGCTCTCCCCGGACCCCGCATTCACTATATCCGCTCTCCCCGGACCCCCGCATTCACTATATCCGCTCTCCCCGGACCCCTGCATTCACTATATATCCGCTCTCCCCGGACCCCGCATTCACTATATCCGCTCTCCCGGACCCCCCCCGCATTCACTATATCCGCTCTCCCGGACCCTGCATTCACTATATCCGCTCTCCCCGGACCCTGCATTCACTATATCCGCTCTCCCCGGACCCTGCATTCACTATATTCCGCTCTCCCCGGACCCTGCATTCACTATATCTGGTCTCCCCGGACCCTGCATTCACTATATCTGGTCTCCCCGGACCCTGCATTCACTATATCCGCTCTCCCCGGACCCTGCATTCACTATATCCGCTCTCCCCGGACCCTGCATTCACTATATCCGCTCTCCCGGACCCCTGCATTCACTATATCCGCTCTCCCCGGACCCCGCATTCACTATATCCGCTCTCCCCGGACCCCGCATTCACTATATCCGCTCTCCCCGGACCCCGCATTCACTATATCCGCTCTCCCCGGACCCCGCATTCACTATATCCGGTCTCCCCGGACCCCGCATTCACTATATCCGCTCTCCCCGGACCCCGCATTCACTATATCCGCTCTCCCCGGACCCCGCATTCACTATATCCGCTCTCCCCGGACCTGCATTCACTATATCCGCTCTCCCCGGACCCCGCATTCACTATATCCGCTCTCCCCGGACCCCGCATTCACTATATCCGCTCTCCCCGGACCCTGCATTCACTATATCCGCTCTCCCCGGACCCTGCATTCACTATATCCGCTCTCCCCGGACCC